AGGTGATTTTTCACGATTCTGCATCCAAACTTGCAAAATCATACTTTTGCCTGCGCAAATCCGAAAAATGCAAAAAACTAATGTGTTCAAACCATTTCTACTTATTTCTACTTATTTCTACTTGCATCTACTTATAAGTTACTTGTAATTACTTACAATCTACTTATCCTATCTTTTTTTATAGCACTTTTAAGTTAACATAAGTAGGTCTTAAGTAAGCTAAGTAAAATTAAGTTTCACCAAGTAGGCTAAGTAGACACCGGCCTTGAGGTACCGCTCCCAACGTCATACCCGATGTTGGACCAAAGAGTGGCTGACTACATCAACCACCTATTTCAAGAAGGTGAGTCAATCAGTAATGTAAGGGAGGCTGGCTTTTGAGTAGGCTCAGGCGCTTCTACCCGCGGGTACGTAAGGAATTGTGCCTGGCACAGCTATGGTATACCAATTGGGCTCGAGAGCACACACCAGAGCGAGCCACGCCAATGCCGTGGAAAGTCCTTCAAGCCCTGGTTGGTTTGTGCTGGCATGAGCATTGGTATCAGCTGGGGCTCTGCCTTTTGCTGGGCTTTAGTTTTTTCTTGCGCACTCAAGGAAGTGCTGGCACGCATGTTTCTGACATTGAGGTGTCCCCAGCGGAGGATACCATTGTCATCCGGTTGCGTCGGACCAAGACATCCAAGCAACATCTCCAAGCTCTCACCCTGGAGCATCCAAAAATGGCAGCTCTTACAGCCTCCGCTCTCACCAATCTTTCTGATTTCTGGCTGTGGCCATGGTCTCCGACCTTTCTTCGTAACTGTTTCACCTCCCTCTGCAAGTTTCTTTTACGTCACCCCTCTGGGAGGCGGGGCAACACATTTCTATGTGGTCCTGAAGTCTCTTGACTTCGTTATGGTCCAGGGTCGTTGGAAAGACCAACGCACTTGTCGCTTGTACCTCGACGATGCTCGAGCGATGTTGGTCAATTTTTTGCCTTTCCGGATGCGTCCGTGTCTTTGTTGCCGCGGCAATTTCGCCGCCTACTTTGAACGAGTCGCTGCGCAAGTTTGGTAAAAAGCGGGCCGGTTGTGCCTGTTTCTTTTCTTGCGCCTTTTTCGAAATGGATAGGTTGTGAAGGTGACTGCACCAGCACCTACAAAGGGTGGCCACCTGCGGGTGTGTGTCCAGTGCTGCTGGTTACCTGGGTCGCAAAACTGCGGCTGCACCACAACCTAGATCACCAGCAGGGTTGTGTGGGTAAAACAACCATGCGCTTCTTGGTGCATAATTAGACCAGTCCTCACTGCCTGCAGTTGGACGTCGCTTAATGCACCGGCGTGGTTTTGGGGCTCAAGCTGCCCCTCCCTCTTGGCACCCTGGATAGGATTTGAAGGTGACTGCACCAGCACCTACAAAGGGTTGCCACCTGCGGGTGTGTGTCCAGTGGTGCTGGTTACCTGGGTCGCAAAACTGCGGCTGCACCACAACCTAGATCATCAGCAGGGTTGTGTGGGTAAAACAACCGTGCGCTTCTTGGTGCATTTATATATATATAATACTAACCTAATACTAACATATATATATATATAACATTATATAACGTAGGAGTTGATAGGAAAATGAATTATGCCGATGGATTTTCCAGCTGGCCATGTTTGATTTCTTGGGTATCTCCAGTTCCGCGTCCGTTTCGTTGAGCTTCACCCAGGAGAACCGCCAGCGTCAGAGTCGAGCATCCAGACACTTGAAGTTGAAATGATCCGGAGATATCCAGACAGGCTATCACAAGCTACCAAAGTGGTCGCTTTTCGAAATAGACAAATATAGAAAAACTGAACGGATACCATGGTCGAATGATCACTTGTATAGGTATTTTGTTGATTCTAATCATTGATGTTTGGGTCTAAATTTAAAGACCTCCTCCGGAGTATTCTCAGAGGGATAACTCGGATCATGAGCGCAGCAATTGTAACCACCGCAGACAATCGGATCGACTGCTGGCAGCAGTACATTTTTTTGTCACAGATGTCAGACGGTTCTCCATGTGTTGGTGTGTTGTTGGATGTCGAGAGTGTGTTATTTTGCGGCAAATATTGCAAATATGATCAAATATGCAATAGAAACCAACGATTGTTTGTCCTTATGGCATCGCAAAAACTACATCACAATTATGAGTTAGCTTCCAGATCATGATCTGGTCAAGAGGTATGGTTCTGGTCATCTTCGCAAGCATTGCTTCCGCAGAAGCTCCGGGGAAGGGGTTCATTGAAATATCGGAGCAGGCTCCATCAAATGGTCCACAATAGTTGAAATCTAAACGTCCGCAGTGCCCGTGGTGTTGGTATGTGTTTGTGAAACTGGCCGAAAACACAAATTGCAAAGTACGGAAGATGCTGTAGGTTCGGTTTGTCACTAGGAGAAACTGTATTCGCATGCCTGCGGAAAGGATAGATCAACATCTACCGAAGGAAAATCTTGTTTTTGGCCTTGGCGCTGGCCACGGCGGAAGCTCTTGGGTGGAGGTTGTTTTTTATGTTTGTTTCATCATCTTGAGGAGATGCATCGGTCTCCATGGACATCCATCATGGTCGACGGTCCGAGGCGAACCACCTGGACCACCTGGCCGCTTGCGACCTACCGATGAAGAGATGGAGAGACGGGAACGTGTATTACACCGCTGCTAAGCAACGACTGTTGAAAAATTGGTCAGAATGATCATGGTTCCACTGGTTGGTGGTTTGGAACATTTTTGTTTTTCCATATATTGGAAATAATCATCCCAACTGACTAATATTTTTCAGAGGGGTTGAAACCACCAACCAGGTCCATGTACTTCTCAAAACCATCCCTGAAAGGATGTCAATTAGAATCAGCTTCGAACATGAATTAGCTCAGAACGCAAGGCCGCCAGATTTCCCTCCAAATTTTCAGGATGGGCCAGATTTGTGCCTGAAACTTGTTTTTGATATTTCGCAGCTTTCTTCAACCCGGATGACTCGGAGGAGGAGCGCGTCGCAACGAGTACAGAGACAGTCTCTGCAAATGACTAAGAGACTTAGAGGCTCGGACCCTGCAGCATGCTGCGAGAGTCTCCACGTCATTCCATTTTCCATGATAGCGGTGCAATGCAGTGCATGCCAGAATCACCCAACAACTTCTGTAATCAAGGAGTGAGGTGATGTTAATTGCATTGACAATCCACGGCTTCGGGGGAATATCGACCTAGGTCCAAAGATGTCCAAAGGTTCTTTATTGACATTTGCTGAGCTGGTAACAAACATCACAGTCAACCCCGATGATTACTTGGGTTGGGTGGGAGTCCAGTGAATAATCCCAGCATTCCAAAACATCCCCCAATCAGTTTGACATGATATTTCATACTAGTATAATCTGGTGTGTGTATATATATATATAATCTTATATCAGAACAAACTCAGGTGAACAAGGGTGTTATGAGTTGCATTTCTTAGATGTTTTACTCGAAGTCGTAAGTTAAGTTGACCCAACGTGAGAGAAGTGTGGGGAACGTTAACTCGCCGAATAAGTTAAGTACAGATATATATATATATATGTTTATAAATATTATGTCTGTGCAAGGCGGGTCGCCCCGTGGATACGCGTGAAATCGAAAAACGCCGTTCGGAAATTAAAAATTCGTCAAGTTGAAAAATGCAAATCAGAAACAACGACTGTCAGCTCGAAATGAATGCTGTCTCTTTTCCTCGCGCTCTTTGGTCCGGGGTGTTCGATCCATATGTTATGGCTGAGCAAGTTTTTGAAAGACAGTTAGTTGAATCTGTCTTGTTGTGTGAACCTCACGTTTGTGAGTTGTCGCCACAAGGTTGCTCAGTTTTTGTCCCCAGATTTGGAAGGTGTGGGGGGGTGGGCCGAAAAAAAAATGGTTGGTTGGAAAAAGGCTTTTTTACCCTTCCCTACCTCTCCCTTGAAATGAAAAACGCCACACAAATATAAATTCAGATGTGGTACCAAGGGATTTGTGACAGGTTGGTTTTAAAGTTGTTTGTGAGAAACGACAAAACGAGTGAACAACAAAGACAAAACGCAAAACCCTAACACAGTTTGGTGTCTCACACTGAGTTGCAAAAATTGTGGTGAAATATTTTTGCAATGTTCTTCCAAAGATAGTGCTCTCACTTCGTGACAGCACTCATTTTATATCAGAACAAACTCAGGTGAACAAGGGTGTTATGAGTTGCGTTTCTTAGATGTTTTACTCGAAGTCGTAAGTTAAGTTGACCCAACGTGAGAGAAGTGTGGGGAACGTTAACTCGCCGAATAAGTTAAGTACAGATATATATATATATATGTTTATAAATATTATGTCTGTGCAAGGCGGGTCGCCCCGTGGATACGCGTGAAATCGAAAAACGCCGTTCGGAAATTAAAAATTCGTCAAGTTGAAAAATGCAAATCAGAAACAACGACTGTCAGCTCGAAATGAATGCTGTCTCTTTTCCTCGCGCTCTTTGGTCCGGGGTGTTCGATCCATATGTTATGGCTGAGCAAGTTTTTGAAAGACAGTTAGTTGAATCTGTCTTGTTGTGTGAACCTCACGTTTGTGAGTTGTCGCCACAAGGTTGCTCAGTTTTTGTCCCCAGATTTGGAAGAGCAGCATTTTATGGCGACTGATGCAGCCTCAGCATCAAATCGGTCAGGGCATCAGATGCATCAAGCATGCCTTTGTCCAGAAGGTTGTATCGTTGGATGGCCTCCTGCATTTTGTTTCTTGAAGGCAGGTCTGCAGGGTTCGAAAAGGAGCAGACTCTTTCTGTCCATGAGTAACTGGGCCATTGAAGTTCCAAGTCTGCTAGTACTCGCGCCAGGATTCTCATAGAAACGGAAGGGCTGTTTGCTTTGATCGCACTCATCCTTGTAGACTCGTTGTCGATCCACTCAATGACCCGTCTACCCAACAGCTGTTTGCGTAGGCACAATCTGACTGAGACTAATGCCCACAGTTCCACCTGAGAAATAATCTGATCCCCTGCAACTCTGTTCTAAAGCTTCACAAGTTCATCGGGCACTGTGACAACGTACGCATGACGTTGTGACCCATCAACTACTACGGCTCCCGCAGTGGCCACACCATCTTCGTACGCACCGTCAGTGAAGATCAGGATCGGCCGGTTTGATTCCAAAGTGGAATGCACTCGTGGTTTTTGCGCTCGCAGCATGGTTCTGGCGTATGAACAAAGACTCACAAGTTCATCAGCATCTTTGCACTGCTGACCCTCTGCAAAAGGCATGAATGCGGAGACCAGGTGTTTGAGACCCCTACCCATGTAAAAGCTGACCGCAAAGTTGAGGAGACCTTGAATTTCACTGGCATGGGCAGCTGTTATGGTGCGGGCTGCTTCAACCTCATCCAACATCTTACATAGTTTATCTATGCGACTAGATTTGTTGGTTATTGTCAAGGTCTGGCGTTGAACTGCACTGAGGTCGAAGGTCACTCCCAAAAGGTCGAAAACACTTGCAAAGTTGACAGCTTTGTCGCCCTCTTTTGCATGTTCCCAGCCAAGCAAGTCCAGGATGGCACTGAAATCCAAAGTCAGGACTCTGCATCCATCGATCCGTTCCAGCGTTGGAAAATCGTCAAAGTAATGCGAAGTGATGCAATGCAGAAGCTTGGACGTCAAAAACCACAAGGCTTGAGACACCCTCACAAAACCATAAACGCTTACCCGTGCAGCCAAAAGGAAGGGCAATGCTTTTGTAAAACCTCCAGACTCCGTCCACTGGAAAACCTACAACCGCATGGGCTTGGTGTTCAGATAAAACTGCAAGTTGCTTGTACGCCTTGCTCAAGTCGAAAGTCTTGCCATACCAGCCAGACATGTTGTCATCCAAGCTTGCCAACTCTCGCATGATTTGAATGACCATGGCCGCAGCATAGTCGACATCTTGCAGTTGTAACTTCACCGTTGGTGAGTATGCAGCGTTAACTGAGCCCTGCTTGGCATCGTCAATGACACGCACCTTGTTGTTGGCTAAAAGAACAAACCTAGGGTTGAGAGTCCAATTTTCAGAGCCAAAAAGAACGGTCATCTCATCTTCAGTGTAAGGGCCTTGCAAAAAGCCCCTTTCAACTTCAGCAGCTGTAGTTTCCTGCAACGACGACTGCTCATCTCTGGTCATGCGCCGTGCTCCAGCCACGATGGCCTTGCGACGCCACTTTGCAGATTGTACAAGCTCATCCTCCATCATGCTAGCTGGCACTAAGTGTTTTTGATATCCCTTCGGCGCTGGCTGCAAGCCAACCAGAGGGACCCCATGCTTCAGGAGGTTCACCACGTCCATGTCCCAATAGTCAAGCTGCGCAAGAAGGCACTCAAACAAGGCAATCCTTTTGGACTTCACACACTTCCGTACGTCAGGATGCATGGTGTCTTTCAGTTCACATTCCGCCTGGGTCAGCTCTTCTGACAATTTGCGAACTTTGAAGACTGAGGCCAATCTCTCTTTTGCAAGTTTCGTGGGACATGTATGCACCACTTTGTGAATTGCGTCAGTGGTTATGGGGTGTAAAACCGAATCGTGATCCATGGGGTGCAAAACGTGTGTGGCTTTCTGCAAAAATTCTTCAGGACTGTGCCACACTCCATATTTGAAAGTTGTCCTGGCACGCTTGCTAGGACTCTCTTGGCTGTCATGCTGCTCAGTGGTTTGTTCCCCCGTGACTGGAGGAGCAGCGCGCAGCTTGTAAGCAGGGTCTGACATTGTTGTTGCAGAGTGGATGTACTCTTTGTATTCCGGTATCAATGGTGGGTGTCTCACCGTCTGTTGTCCCAGGTTCAGCTTCAGCAAGTCTTTCAGCCGAGATGACACCCGCGGAACAACCCCCAACGCTTTTGCCACGTCAGAAACGCAAGCGGCCACTCGATTGCACAACAAGGCGGGGTATTGTTTTGTACGGCTGCCAGGACGCATGAGTGTGGTTTTGAGGACACACTGCCTCCAAAGAAGTAAACAACCCACTGGTGGCCAAAAGCTTGGTTCTTGTATCTCTTGAACTGCCATGCGCGCAAGCATCAAAGTAAACACTCTCAAGGGCTGAAAACCACTCAACAAACTCCATGTTTCCAGTCTCTTTGACTAAAAGTGCCAGTAGTGCCCAGAGCCAGGAACGAGCTGGGTTTTCTATTGATACAAGGCATCCCAAACACATGCAAACTTCCAGGAGCCGAACTGCGCACTTGTAAAGCTTGTTGGCTAGGTCTACTTTTAGCTGGTCAACCGCCCTCAAGTTTGGAAGCCCCAAAAGATGCTCTGCGTCTCTCAAAGGTGGGGGGCCCCTGTGGCCTCCTAGCTTTGCCGTCATCGGCCTTTCTCGTGCCCGCGAGCACGTTCCGCAAGGTAAACCTAAATGGACATAGCATGGTCTGCAGTGGTGTAGCATGCTCTCCAAAAGTTTTGCCTGTTCCGGGTTTGCCACATCCAAAACAAAATCTTTGACCTTTGTAACGTGTCGGTTTGCCGCATGATCAATTGGGTGAACCTGGAAGCCAATACACCTTAATGCTTCTGACAGCCCCGCAGAGCCACAGCAAATTTCAAATGTCGTGGCCTCCAAAGTGAAACGAGCATCGCAACCGCTAAACTGAAGTCAGTGTGGGCACTCATTGCCCGGATGCAGCTTATGGCATGCCTTCTTCCAGCACATGTGATACCCAACCATGCAACGCTTGCCAGGCTTGACCTTGGCCGTGCACCTACCGATTTGCCATCGCTTGCAAAGCTGTTTGCTCACAATCGTCGGGCACTGTGATGCCCGTAGATGCCTTTCCTTTGCCCTTTGAAGGCTTTCCCTTGCCGCCAGTTTGGTGAGCACCTTTTCCTTTTGCGCTTGGCGTAGCTGAATTGTTCATATCTGACCTGTATCCACCCTGACTTTGAAGGGGCATCAAGTGTTGTAGGACTTCAGGGTGCTCTGCGAACTTGGTGAAGTCTGCGTCAAAGGGTTTTTCCATGCCAGTTTTTGGCTGCAGTTTTCCACGTGTCTCACTTGAAACTTTGACCCAAAGTGCCTTGTCAGCGTTGATGGCCTGCTCCATGCTCACATGCCTGAAGTTAGCCAGAGGTGCCTCATTCATCTTTTCAAATAACTTCTGAGTCCACAAATCAAGCACTGAGAATGTTGCAATTCCTGCCAAGTCGTATGCCAGTGAGCGTCGAAGAAAGGCTTGACGCATCTTGTGTTCACCTGTTACGTTCACATCATCAAGCTTTTGTTTCTTGCTAAGCCGCAAGCCACCAGAGCTGTCCAATGCCAGCGTCGTGTCAACTTTTGAGTGCAGGGCCTCATCGTGTCTTGATGAACACCTGCTCAGGTCGATGTAAGTTACGACATTGTCCTCGAGCTGTTGGCATACCTTGTCAATCAAAGAGTGTGATGGCTCATTCTGCGGTGTGAAGCTGATTCCAATGAGCCTCAACTGCTGTTGTCTGATGCGATCCATTTTCTCTGCTAAAGGTAAAACCCTTGCCTCACTGGACTCCGACCTGTCAGCACGTGATTTAAGATCCTCCAGTGAAAGGGCATGGGCCTCAAAGAACAGCCTGCGAAACCTGGTAGAAGAAGCAGCGTGCGGGGCTGCTCCAAGAGCTGTTGTCAAAAAAATTGTCAAAGCAGTGTCATCAGTCTGACCAGGTTGAAAAGTACAGCAATAAGCATATGTTGCGTAACTGTTGATTCCTTTGTCTGCCAAAGCTTCAATGTCAGCTTCTTCAATTCCAAGTTCAGCTGCGCGATTCTGAAAAGCGACCTTTGAGCCGATGGCCATGGGTACGTGGCGCAGCTGGGACGTTTATCCCTGTCAGAGTTTTACAAATGAAGCAATTGATTTGGCAGTCTTATAAAAGCAAGGTGGTGACCAAAAAAATTGAAGTTCAAAAATTGTTCGAGTTGTAATAGTGTGCAAAGCATGCCTGAAAATAAAAGTGAATATCTGAATGCTGAGCCCGTGCAACGTGTCACAACGAAATCTTTGAGTTGAGTCACCTGGATTTTATGACTTCTGCCGCATGTTGTCTGTTCATGCTAGGCATTGGGTTCCAAGTGAGTTTAATTCTCATAACTCAGTTGTGATGCACTCGCAACGGACCCTATTGCAAAACATCAGATGTTGGCTGTTCATGCCGCACACTGATTTGGAACTTTGAACATGTTCAAATGAAGCCGCAAAAAAACAACACGCATAACGAGTCGGCACTAAGTTATTTTTACATCTCTGGGGACGATGCCAAGGGCGTTTGTTGCCCATCAAGTTCAAAGCCATCGGAAGCCCACAAGGCAGTCATGGCATCCCTTGACCGGAAGCCCTGTAGGCCTGAGAGCAGCTTGCGCACATGACAGCTTCTGTTGCAGAGAGGTCTTCAACTGACGCTTTTCTGAAAGTCGACGACGGGTGTCGACCACACCAGAATTTTTCATCCTCACCAGCAATCATGTGAATCACCTTTGAGTTTCTGTTGATCACGCATGACTCGACCTCCAAGTTATCAGCCTCAAGTCGCTTGTAGTTTGGTCTCTGAGCAACGCTGTCATGCTCCCCATCCGAGTGGGCCACTGAGGATGCATCCGAATCAGCAGATGAATCGCTACTGTCATCGTCTCCATGATCCTCCAGCATCGTTGAATAAGCCAGTTGAAAGAGCCTGCTGACACGAGCTGTGTCAGGATCGAAAAGACCGTCCCTGATTCTGGTGAACATGTCGTGCAGTTTCTTGCAAAGCCCGATCTGATTCTCCCTGGAGTATATCATGGCCGAACGGTACTGGGCATGCACATGATGCCCCAAAGCCAGCTGTTCATCTGCACCAAAAAGGGTGCTCTTTGCCGCCCAGCTCAAAAGCGTAGCTTTCTTTCCATGCACTGTGAGCCTGTTGGCACGATCAGCACCGGAACAAGGCTCCAAAAACTCTCTTAGCCATCCAGTAGCTTCAGCACTTGACATGCGTGAGTCTACCCATGAATGAGCGCTGTCTGACCATGAGTTCAGAAAGTGCGTCCAATGCTGAGCGTTACAGCCACTTCTTGCGTCAAGCCAACTGCTGCCCCAAAAACAATCCAGGGTCAGTTTACCCAAGGCTGTGAAGAAGGGCAACAGTTCCATCTGCTACTCCTTGCCTCTGGACGACTTGTGCTTGGAAGTTGACGCCTCGAGCAACAGGATGTCACCGGCCTTTGAGGACTCCATTGCCACCACATACATTGAGTCATGCCATGTTGCGGCTGCAGCAAAACTGAAAAGAAGGTGACCTGCTATGACCCGTCGATGGAGCTCGGCATCGTTGGCACATATGTATTCCAATTTCGAAACTTCTGCAACGGTCAACACTTCTGCTGGCTTTCTGATGCGTTTTGTCATGTAAACTGCATGAGCTGCACCAGTCACTCTAGCACTGAGCATGTCTTGCAACTTCATGTGTGTGAATCCCAGCAGTGTGTCAGCAAACCTCATGGCCTCGACCAGCTGGGAAGGTGTCGTAGCTCCAGCTCCTGAAACCCTGAGATACATATGTAGTCATACAGGACCTGTTCAGACTGAGAAAACGGTGAGCCAGTTCTTTGCTGTTGCAACCAACAAGAAAACCTCCAAAGAGCATTGCAGCGTTTCAAAATTGTTCCAGTTGCCTTGGTGCAAAAACGTCCATAAAAATCTGAGACAGCTCGTCATCGGGGCACAAGGTTCCAGCGAAACTTCTCAACGACTGTCCAAGCCTTGTGCAATCCAGGTCCAACAAAACCATTGTTTTAAACCTCGAAAGAGCCAGATGCCTGTAGTCATCCTGTGAAGTTACAAGCCTGGAAGCTCTGATGCGCTGCACTGTCATTTCAGATTGTTGTATTGGTTTCGGATTTCGGAATTGAGCTGCTGGCCTCTGAAGCAGTGATATGGTCTGAGAGCCCCACCAGCGGCATCCTATTCTGCCGTTGCAACCGTTCCCAGAAAGGCTTCTGCTTGGAAAACAAACTGGCCAAAGGACCTCTTTCCCATGGCTGTTTCACCTCTGAAATAAGTCTGTGAACCTGCTTGGATGCCATCTCATCTGCTGTCCTCTTGATTGATTCATGCAACACTCTTGTCTCTGAGGTCAAAACTGAGGGCTTGGCTGCCGACCTCTTCGGTGTCGGACGCATGAACTGAGGCTCAGTCTCTTCAAGGCGCATCGAGTCAGGTTCAATGTCCATTGAAACATCGTCATCAAAGTCACAAGCAGCTGAACCAAAAAGAAGTGAAACATCAGGTGCATCCACTGTTTCCCATTGATTCGAAGCATCTGCAAAAGAAACATCATCAGCATCAGCACTCAAATCTGCGGCACTAGCTGCAGCTGAAGAGTTCTGCCTGCAGCCTCTAAAACCTCTACGTTCCACAACCATGTCAATTCTGAGATCCTCTATTCCCAAGATTGATATGAGCAAAGATGCCTAGTGTGAGCAAACTTCAGCTGGCACCAATTGTTGCAACCTGTTACTGAGCACACGTGAAAACAGTTGACTGGATCTGCCGTTGCACCACGTTGATGCAAGCCAGCCTCTGTATCCACCTCGACTTGCTGAACAGGCGAGACAGGTACGCCCAATCTATTGGCAATCTCTCTGAGGATCACGACTAGGAGTGACAAGATGCTGAAGTTTGATAACTGAGAAATCTGTTGTGCATCCATCTACCCCCGTAAGCCGAAAGAAAATGGTTGGTTGGAAAAATGTTTTTTAACCCTTCCCTACCTCTCCCTTGAAATGAAAAGAGAGCGGGTAGTCATGGGGGGCGAGGTTGTGAAAGTCCTGATTTTGTTATATTAGTCACTGAATTCAGAATTATATCAGTCATTACATTAATCATAATATTAATCATTGTAATATTCATTATATAAGTCATGAAATGAATCATTAGATTAATCATGATATATATCATGATAGGACTCATGATATTAATCATTATATTAAGGATTAAATATATGTAAAAACATTTTAATAGTCACTTTATAAACCATTTAAAGAATCATTTAACTTAATCACTATAGTTATCATTCTATGAACCAATTATATCATTCTATTTATCATTCATTAATCATGATATTAATCGTTATATTAGTCAATAAATGAAAAAATAATATCAGCCATTACATAAATCATTATATTAATCATTTTATTAGTCATTAAATGAATCATGAAATGAATCATTATATTTATCATGAAATGAATTATTATTTAAGTCATTGTACAGAAAATTATACTACCCATTAAATTAACCATTAAATGAATCATCATATGTATAATCATTATTTTAGTCATATTAAAAATCATTATATTTGTCATTTTATTAACCATTATATTAGTCATTCAGATTAATCATTATATTATTCATGATACTAGTCATTGAATTAATCTTTTTACTAGTCATGGTATTCATCATTTTATTCATCATAATATGAATCATATTAGTCATTATATTAGTCATTGTACTAATCATTTTAATATTCATTATACTAGTCATTGCATTTGTCATTAAATTAATCATTATATTAATCATGTTATTAATCATGAAAAATACATATATAATCATTATATTAGTCATTATATTAGCCATTTTATTTATTGTTACATTAATCATTAAATTAATCATGATAATAACCATGAAATTAATCATTATATCAATCATTGAAATCATCTTTATATTATATTAATCATCATATTAATCATTTCATTAATCATTCAATTAATTATTAAATAAATATTATCATGATATTAGTCATTATTTAAGTCATTAAATTAATCATAATATAAATTATTATGTTCATCATTATAATAGTCATTTTTTAATCATTTCATTAATCACTATATATTCAACATTATATTAATCATAAAAATTAATCATTACATTACGCGTTGTTTTCATTTATATATTCATTAAATTAATCATTATATAAATCATTATATAAACCATTAATTTAATCATTACATCAATCATCAAAATCACAACTATTTTAATCATGAAATTAATCATTTTATTAATCATCACATTAATCATTATAGTAATCATTATATTAGTCATTATATAAGTCATTAAATGACTCATTAGATAAATCATTAAATTTATCATTATATGAATCATGATATTAATCATGATATTAATCAGTATATTAATCATTACATTAGTCATTATATAAGTCAGTAAAAGAATCATTAAAAACATATTCATCATTCTATAAATCATGTTATTTATCATTATATTAGTCAATAAATTCAAAATTATATCAGCCATTACATAAATCATTATATTTATCATTATATGAATCATTATAATAATCATTTTATTAAGACCAATGATATTACATTGATCATGATATTAGTCTTTTTATGAACCATGATATTAATTTTTAATAAATCATTATATATATATATATATATGATCATTATATTAGTCATGATATAAGTCATTAAATTAAGTTTGGTTTTCCATGTTTTTTTTGCAGTTTGGCCTGGGGAGCGCAAGTGTGCAAATTGTAGAGACGCGCATTTTTTTGAGAGGTACTGTGATGAAAGCATCTTCACATGAAAAACAACAAAAGCATGGAAAAACCAAAACAACAAAAAAAAACAAAAAGTTCAGACCCATGGGCAAGGTCTGGGGAGAGGCCTGGCAGGGGACATGGGTCTGAACTTTTTGTTTTTTTTGTTTTTTTGTGTTTTTTTTGTTTTTCCATGGTTTTTTGCAGTTTGGCCAAAACCTCGAGAAAACCAAAAAAACAAAAAAAAACAAAAAGTTCAGACCCATGGGCAAGGTCTGGGGAGAGGCCTGGCAGGGGACATGGGTCTGAACTTTTTGTTTTTTTTGTTTTTTTTGTTTTTCCATGGTTTTTTGCAGTTTGGCCAAAACCTCGAGAAAACAAAAAAAACAAAAAAAACAAAAAGTTCAGACCCATGGGCAAGGTCTGGGGAGAGGCCTGGCAGGGGACATGGGTCTGAACTTTTTGTTTTTTTTTGTTTTTTTGGTTTTTCCATCGTTTTTTGCAGTTTGGCCAAAACCTCGAGAAAACCAAAAAAAACAAAAAAAAAAAAAACAAAAAGTTCAGACCCATGGGCAAGGTCTGGGGAGAGGCCTGGCAGGGGACATGGGTCTGGTTTTTTTGGTTTTTTTGGTTTTTCCATGGTTTTTTGCAGTTTGGCCAAAACCTCGAGAAAACCAAAAAAAACAAAAAAAACAAAAAGTTCAGACCCATGGGCAAGGTCTGGGGAGAGGCCTGGCAGGGGACATGGGTCTGAACTTTTTGGTTTTTTTGTTTTTTTTTGTTTTTCCATGGTTTTTTGCAGTTTGGCCAAAACCTCGAGAAAACCAAAAAAACCAAAAAAAACAAAAAGTTCAGACCCATGGGCAAGGTCTGGGGAGAGGGCTGGCAGGGGACATGGGTCTGAACTTTTTGTTTTTTTTGTTTTTTTTTGGTTTTTCCATTGTTTTTTTGTATGTTTTTCATGTGAAGATGCTTTCATCACAGTACCTCTCAAAAAATGCGCGTTTCTACAATTTGCACACCTGCGCCCCCCATGGGTACCCCTTCTGAAAAAAAAAATGGTTATCCCGCACATCCCAAAAACATCGGAAAACGCCTCAACTTGGATCAACTTGGAAGCGGCCATTGCCATGGGCCATTGGGCCATCATTTATTATCGGTTTGGGACTTGGGATCCTGTAAATCATCTGCAAATCTTGAGAGTTTTGCACATCTTGCATTTCTTTGGCCACAGGCATCACATTGGCCCATAGCTTCTATCAAGGCCCTCCTTGGAGCCCTGCTTCATTTGCAAAGTTTGTGACTCTGGCTCCCAGTGGTTACACCCAATGAGTAATAGTGGTGATGAATGGTCAACAATGGTGGTGACTTCAGACCGATTCATGAAACAACATAAACGAAGCCATTGGAAGCCATGCTGCGCACTTTGAGGCTACAAGTGAAACAAAGACCACTGCACAAGGACTGACAAGGAGAAAAAAACACGCGACAAAGTTGTGAGGAAACACTGACTATCAACCAAAAACATCCACATTCAAACTATGTGTCAAACTCTTGCTGTAAATCAGAGAAATGAAAGGAAAAGCAAGGAAAAAGGGTGGGTGTTCACAGCCAACAGCGTCCAACTTTTGGATTCCTCACAACCTCCCTTGTGCCATGGCAGCCACCAGCGACAACGAGGAGTTCGACGCAATGGCGCTGCCGGCGCGTTGGAAGGAGCGTCGCCCAGGCGCTGCCTGCGGGCGCCTTGCCAGCGAAGCCATGGAGGCCGGAGCTGAAGTTTTCATCGGAAAATCCTCAGCTCCCAGGCGATATGGCACCGGTGCCGGCAGTTTCACCGGCCACACTTGGGCGCAGTGCTGGCTTGGAGTCGGTTGGATCCTCTGACCCCAGGTTGAACCTGAGGGCCTGCGACTGGAAGTACTGGACCAATACTTGTCGAAGACTACGAAGTGGTTGGCTTGCGGCTGGTACTGGACCAGGCCAAAGTGTTTCCTGCGCAGACCCTAATTGTTTGGGGGAAAGGTGTGAAAAGAGACAAATTTCTCATCGCATTGATCTGAAGTGCTTATCCATGGATCCGGGGCTTCCAATGTATACTGCAAGTCTCATCCCCTCCGTCCAGTAACTACTCCAACAACTTGAAAAACACGAAAGCTGACCGACGCCTGTGTGCAAGCAACATAACCCCCGCAATTTTGCTTTGATGTTCCAAAATGTTCCAAGCTTCCATGGAACCTTCCCACAGTACTATGCGCGAATGCTGCCATTTTTGCTGCGTCTATCCGAAAACTACTTGGAATCTTATCCCATTCTGTTTAAGCTGCCTCATCTTTTTTCTGTACAGCTCCACTCCCCAAATATCACACTATGGCTTACAGTAGATATATTCCATCAAATCCCCACGTTCAATGGTTAAGTAACAATTGTATTCCCAAAACAAAAACCTTACAATCACATAAAAACAATGGGAACAGCATATAACATTATAACATTATATTCCCACAATGGTTGATCACCTTTGTATCATTGTATCGAAGAAAAAGAGGAAAAACTAGTGACCCCCAAACCACATTCCCATCCCTTTAAATGATCAAGTCATCCCATGATCATCCCCCCAACCAACATAGACCACGTCATCAGTTTGGGGTTGGAAGACTAGTTACTAAGTTTATCTATATATTATAAGTTATACCACTAAAAAAAATGGGGGAAGCTATATTCCCATCTATCGAATTTGAGCAAGCCATCTACTCTTACACTTAATCACTCCCATCTTACTCTCCAAGCATCAAACATTGTAACATGGAACAAAAAATCCCCCAGTTTTGGTTGATTCTCCAAACTATAGCCTTGAACTAAGCCTCCATGAAGACTTCGCTGGAATTGTCAGATCCCAAGCCATATGAAGTGCTAAGAAATCTAAAAAATCCCCCATCTTATGCTTGTCCCAACTAAGCCTCCATTGAGAAAACAGTGGAATCCGTGGCATTTTCCCAAGCTGATCAGCTCCGATCTCCTCAGAAAGCCAATCAGCTTGGGCGAGGGCCGGTCGTAGCCCAAGCTCTGCGGCTCGACGCCCTCGCTGCGCAGCATGGAGTCAAAGAGCTGCCGCCCATAGCCACCGCGCTGATGGCCCTCGACCACGTAGAAATCCAGACAGCACAACGGAGAGATCTCCACCAAACCTGGGAAAAGATGGGAACAGATTGGATTTTATAGTTAAATGATGTTAAATGGTTATGGTTAGATTAAATGGATATTTCCTCAACATTGGATTTTACATGATTTTACATGAAATAAATGTTTATGAAACTTCCTAGTTTACATGGTCATGCGATCTTTTACAAACCTGTTGAGGAAAAAACAACTAGCACTTGGGAATTCTGTGAAATACAGGATGTTACTTCCATGTATAATAACATACAATAATATACAATATACATGTGTGTGAGATATGTGTGTGGCATTATCCATATTAGGACTTCCCCGAGCGTTGAAGCTCCAAGTAAACATCCCTTCTAACCGGGATCAAGTGCACATCAATCCCTCGAAACCTGACAAAAAACACTGTGAAAAACAGAGTGTCTGATGTTTTTTAATGTTTTTTATTCTTCAACTCCAGGTTTCCAACTTGCAAAGATATCAACATCGAGGGCCTTTGCGGATTCCCAACCGATAGCTACAGGTCGATCTGGCTGGCCCGGCCTTCCTTTTCCCCTCGCGAGACGAAGAGTCGCTTGGGCCCCACCTATGGCGAATTGCGATATCATCTGAGTGCCAAAAAAAAACTACTCCAAAACTGCCCAAGTCTATTTCATATTTGAAGTGTCATATCAATATTCCACCACATGTCAGGGTGCTTCCTTTTGCCCATCACAATCCCAATTGTACCCCTTGAAATGTCCAACTCATCACCAAAAATGTCAAGACTTCCCGTGGTATCTCAACTGTATCTGCAAGTAGAAACCATATCCTCAATGGACGTTTTCTCATTAGAAGTATATGTAGATATATGAAGAAAATAAACGGCCTAACCTAACCCAATTCTAGGGCGTTCTAATGTGGTCAACCGAATTCGACACCGCAATATTTTACGCTTTTTGTTGACCCCCCCAAATGGTTAAAAATTGAGATGTTGTTTTCATTGGCATTACATTTACCACATAATTTCTATCCGAAATGTTCTCTAACCATTCAGCAGCCATTTAAGGAGCTTTCTAATCTATGGGGGGTGCCACAACAAAAAAAAAAACATAGGATTTTCCATGACAAAAAACATACAAAAACCATAACCATCTATTTTGACGAAATTGCCCCTACGACTGATACAGTAGATGGACAAATTAATCAAACCCCAGGTGCACGATGTATAAGTTCCCCCGGGCCCCCTGAATTTCAATGTTACTATCTTATGTCTCCATGTTAGTCCTACGGGCTTTGATTTATTTCGTCCGTTCGTGGCCATGCTCCCCATGGCTCTGCACGCTCTGCACCTTCAGAATCCCCAGGGCCAGCCGGTGGTTGTACAAGACGTAGATCCGATTGGAGCTCAGCGGCTGCCAGCCTGCAGTGACCGCCTTTCCAAGGCCCTGCGCACGCCTGCAGTGCTGTGGAAATGGAAATCTACGAAGAGAACCATATTGGTTCATAAATAGTTGTCATTGATGTGTACTGTATATATAGTAATAGTTGTTCTTCATCCCCCAGTGATATGTATTAATATATTATATATATATATACATAGAATAGTTGATGATAGTTGATGTGTATCAAGCCATTGGGCCTTTTTTTATTTCTCATTCAATATCCATCAAGATTGATCTTTATTTGGAATGTATTTGGACCACTTTTGGAATGGCCTTGATCCCTCTCCCATGGCATCCAGCAGCTCACGCACATGACGCCCTGAGGAGCCCACGAAGGCCTGGGCGGTGCAATGCGGTGCAGGGAGATGACGACTTCAATGGCAGCTCTGTAGAAAGTCGACACCCAAAGTTTGGAAGATTGGTTTGGCTGGTTCCAGATGGTTCCAGATGGTTCCAGATGGTTCCAGATGGTTCCAGATGGTTCCAGATGGTTCCAGATTGAACTTGAATTGTTGAATTGAAGAGCCACGTTGATGGTGTGGTCCTGTTCCTTCAATACCAAATACTGTAATCCAGATCTCTCGTTCTTATTCCATTACATCATTTTACATCCGAACTACTTAATAGACCGTTCTGAATATTCTGGCAACATTTTGGGCGTGTGAATTTGTGAGCTGCCAACTGCCAACATTCCAAGTCTTGCTGTTGCCAATGACCATTAATGTTGGTTTGTAAAATGAATAACGAAACATATATACCATCTGGTAATTTAACATAGCTACGGAAGCCATGGCCCATTCAATTCAATGATTTGCCTGCTGTTTAAATGGCTATTTGCCATAGCTATGCTACCAGAGGGCAGAAGATATTCCAAATCTGCGTCAAGCGATAATTTATCCAGATTACTATTCACTATATCATGCTATATCCGCATTGTAGCACCGTGTTTGTTGGTTAAGTCACCTTTTTGCCACCGGAAATCTTTCGGCTCCTGATATAGATGATTTTCCCATCCATCCATCCATAGACATCAAATGCTATGTTTTCTTTAATGCGGAACAAATCCACAACCCCTAAATGATGTTCCGAACAGTTTCCCCATAGGTTTGCCACATCTTTTTGCATGTTTACCCTCGGACCCTAGGGTAAATCCCAATTTGTCTATGTCCCTCATGATATCCTCATCTTATCCCCATGATAGCCTCATGTTTTCTTGGTTACAATCATGTTCAACCAACGATTTGTCTACCCTTTGGTAATTAAACATAGCTTTTTAGGACATCACCATGTTTCAGTTCGAAAAAATCAGCGATTTCGCCATTTTCCATAGGTTAAATGACCACAGGCTATGGTGAAGTCCCCCCATCTCCAGCCGTTGAGCTGCCGCACCCCATCGTCCAAGCGCGCCACGTGCGCCGTGGCGCCGTCCTCCAGGCGGAAGGGGTCCAGCAGGCGGCCCACCACGAAGTCGAAATCGTCCATCAAGCCATGGCCCCAAAGTCAGAAAGGGACTGGTTAGGGAAATCTGATATGATATACATCAACTCATATGGATAATATGTCATATGTTATTCATATGTACAAATATAATATATTGTGTATATATATATATTAAAATTGATATATATATATATATAGATAGTAGTTTAAGTGAAACAAAACAAAACACTAAAACATACTAAAACTATCTATTTTCAGACTTTTGACCAAGACACAAATATATCTTGCTGTCGTAAAGTATCATTGCTATGTGTTGAATTGTGTTGATCTACGAAATTGTTTTAAATTGTTGATATGTTGATGTCTTGATGTCTTGATACTGATACTACAACTGAAATCACCCAAATCAATGCAAATAGTGGGGAAATCTTGGTGAAACAACTAAAGCGAAGTAGTCTTTTTGAGAGGCTGTCCCTTGATGCTAAAATCAACCGCCAAATGGGCCTTTACCATCTGCCGTGGCAATATTTTTTGGATGGTGACTGGTCAGCTTTTCCAAGATTCTGTCTTTGCCCAAATCTCTGCTCCCTGTACATGGCTGCAGGGAGGTATGTGTGTCAAACCATTCCAAGCTCCCTGCAGCGGATTGAGAGATGAAACATGACCCCATAAAAAAAGCCAATTCAGTCGCAGCCATTCCATTTCCGCTGCTGAAGTTTCACAGTTCCAGGGAAGCCATCGACACAAGATGGCTTGGTGAAGCCAATTTGCCATCACAATGTAACTGTTCCATGCTGAAGTTTCCATAGGTGTACCCTCTGGTAAATTAAGATAACTCTGGAAAATCACCATGTTCAATGGGTAAATCCACTATAAATCACCATTTTCAATAGCTATTTGGACATAACCAGAGGGTCTCTGAAAACTGGACCCATGAAACACTTCTAAACCAATCGGGATCCCAGGTCAGGCTGTCCAGGCTTCTCGACATCCCAGTCCTGCCCAAGGTCCCAGGCCTCTCGGGAAGAGCGCTCCTCCTCTGCGATGGCCGCTTTTGCCGCTTGTGTTTTGGAAAATTGATGGCCCCTTCATGGGAGAAATGATGGGAAATTGTTTTTGGAAAATTGATGTGAAAAAAAAATTAGCGGAATCTTGAAGCTTCTGTGAAAAAAAAGGCCAAACAATGGGGAAAATGATGATAAACAATGGGATGCAACGGGGTTCACATCATTTTACATCTCACATCCCTATAGAGTTCAACACATGCTGCCAAAAGGTCAACATCTTTTGGGATGTGACTCACAACCCAAAAAAAAAAGACCCCCACCTCCAGAGATATGTGTTATATTAAATGTTATATAACCATCAAAAATCCCCCATGGTAAAGTTCATCAATCCCCATTAAAAACCCCCCATTAAGAGCCCAAGTGACCCATCTCATCCCGTCTTTGAGTCCTTGAGGCGTGCCAACTCCCTGGACATGCTGTCCACCACTTGAAGCAACTTGGCCTGACCAAAGCTGGTGTTTCATCCCAGTTAGTGAGTTAAAACATCTTAAAACCCCATTTATGAGTGGATTAACCCTACTGATCCCCTTTACAACCAGGGTTCCAACCCGATTACCAAGTGGGATGAGCCACATCAAGGATCAAAATCAATGGCCACCAATTGATTGAAGGGAAAATCCACAGGATACGCTTAGATTTGGGTGGTAAAATCATGGGTTTCCTGTAATATGTCCCCTATACCAACCCAATGAGGCTAGGATTAAGATGGTGCGAAACATCATGAAATGTCATTGAAAGATCATGAATTATGGGCGTGTCTGAAAATTGGGTATATCCTCCAAATGGCTATTTAAACAGTAAAACAATACCATGAACCATTCCATATAAAACCATGGGATATCCGCCGGTTTCCCCGACATTTTCTCCATTAAATCCCGGAGATCCAGGCTGGACAGCTCGCATCCCACCTGAGCATCAGCGACTGCCTGCAGCTCGCCCTGCCACGGATCACATGTAGACCCTCCAAGTACTTGGAAAGTCATTGGTATCCCAATATATCCCAATGACTTTTCCAATCCAATTGGTATCCATTATTATGGCAGTACCATGGGGATAAGTGTCCCAACGGATGTGTATCCCCATTTTTCGAGGTGCTTGGGTCTAGGTCCCCAAGTGGTACAGCCATACCCTCCCCACGGGAGGGGCCTCCAGCCTGGTGCTGGCCACCTGCCAAGACATCATCTAGCATGATGCTCACAGCGTAACAAGATACTGTCCTGTGATGATGATGGTGGTGCTGGTGCTGGTGCTGGTCGTGCTGGTGCTGGTGTTGGTGCTGGTGCTGATGATGATGATGATGATGATGATGATGATATACTTACTTGAGGTAGGGACCTTTGGGGTTTATTTCGTTCCTACTTCCATGTCCAAATATGTCCTTCCTGCTAGATATGGAGTCAAGGTTGTAGCTGCCCTTTTGGCATGGTGTGGCAAGAAAATCATGCTCGTGTGTCAGAGTTCATTCTTCGGGATAAGTGTTTCCACATGCGAAAAAGGTTTGCGAGGTTGTTTAGCAGCAACCACTCCATGCGGTCGGTGCTGCTGACCAGAGAACTTTTCTAACCCCTTTGTTAGATCCTGTGACTTTCCGACGAATTTCAGCGGGGAAGCACTTGCAAATGGCGGCCAACGTCTCGACGAAGGGTATAAACATGTATAAACAATATAAACAGGCGTGTTTGCATCCAGATTGTCCAAGACTCGTTTGGCCCTCGCTTGACCATGCTGCCGTCCAAAATTTCCTCTCTGGCTTTGATCTCTTCTCGGCTGAAGGGATTTCGGGGCCGTGCTAGTGAAGAAGCGACCCCAAGACGTGAGATTTCGGCACGTATCCACTTGGGTAAACTTTCGAAGAAGTTTCCTGAAGACATGCGAGCCTGGCAACTTTTTGCTCCACTGCGCATGCTCGTACACAACTGCCAAGTGTACGGAGCCAAAAGCAATGCAAACTAGATTGCTGCACACTGCTCGGACTTCAAAGCTTCGTGGAAGGACTATCACTTGACAGTGGCAAGCTTGTCTACATCTCGATAGGCTTGGATGGGGAATTCCGGACCCCCTGGAGGATTAAAAGGATCAAATGATTTAATCCTTTTGCCTTTTCATCCCTTTGATCCTCCAGAACTATCACAAACCAGTGGAACAATATAGTACCTCAAGGTCTCTCAAACATATACGTATTATATATATTATATTATATTATACACATATACACATATACACATATATATATATATGTGATGATACATGTATATGTATATACATCATAATGGAAGTTGTAGCAACTGACAAAATGTTGGACATCCTCACAACTGGCCACACTGAAACAGTGACTCTAAATGACTTACATGTCGTCCATGCCTCCTGTGCCGCGACGTACTCAGATCTGAAGGTCTCAAATTCTCCTAAGACATTCGCTGTGAAGAAAATCCCTAGATTTGGAGCTATCAATCGGAGTCAGAAACCAACTGAAGCAACTGGGGACTCCCAGTTGAAACATCCAGAAACCTTTTGTCACCGATCCACGTGGCGTCCTTCCAAGAAGTTGGGCAGCAGCTGACCCAATCGAGCATCCACCTGCGGCTGTTTTTTACCTGGTGATTCATTCCGTTGAATCCTGGTTGGGTTAGTATCGTGCCATGGTGGAATAGGGATAGAGACTATAATTCCCATGTTATAACTTACTAGTATACTATTACAATATACTGGAATAACTATTCCTTTATTCTTACTAGTATCGTTATAAAAAGACCCCTTAATAAACCCAATAAATCCAATAAATACATAAATATACCATTGTTATAGTAATAGCTATAATAAAGGATTATAATAGCACCAATAATAGTCCCCAATAATTCGTTCAACGGTCCCCAATAAACCAGTAGTTCAATAACACACCACAAATAGCCAATCAACAGGGGTATCTTAATAGGGTTCCCAGTTCATTGATTGTGATAATCCTGGTACATTAATACCCCCCGAGCCAACTATTCATCAACAGGGCTAGATCGCAGCCACTCCTTATGTGAGGCATGTTGGGACTGTGTCACTCTTTGAGATGACGTTGTGCTTTTGATAAGTTTGAAACCAGCACCAAACCATCTCCACAAGCTTGTTTCAGCCTGCTTGCCGGCTACAACTTGCTGCTTGCGAAGCAAATTACACAAGGATTTACAGATGAGTGGTTTGCTCACAAATAACATCCAAGATAGCCATGTTGATATGTGGCTTCCATGTCAATTCAACACCAGTTCTTCCTGGACCTTTCAAATCACGCTCCGGCCTGCATGTCCACCCAGGCACGCAGCTGGATACCGTACGTGGTCACCGCGCTGTCATGGAACTTGGCACCTGACTTTTCATGGAGCTCGGCGCCTGAAAAGTGCAGCTGGTCCCTAGCTGTTTTGAAGGTCAATTGAAGGTTTAAGTATGATTATAACATATTATAACTATGTTTAAGTATGGTTTAAGTATGGTTAATTCAGTGAAGATGAAATCGATCCCAGCCTTTTTCTTTTTGGGTTGTGCCAGCATTTTTCTAAAACATCCCTGCCAACCCGCAGGGATTTTGGCCAAGCTCAGCTGGCCACCTTCAGCTCGCGCAACCTCAATCTGTCAAGTTGATGACATGATGAAATGTTGATGAAGATTGTTGATGATATAGTTGATGATTATTTGCAATTTCTGATCAAATTCCATGAAAGTCCTAGGATGTCCTAAGTCGAAAGGAAACCGATCAACTATCCCCAGCCCCATTGGGGAAACAACAACTGCATCTTGATTTTTGTTGCCATCCGAAGACCTTCGCAACTTTATCAACTTTATATCTCATTCTATCCCTATAGAATCCTATATCATCTCGGTAAATTATAATATTTCACTAACCTGAATCTTGCGGCCATTTGGGGATGATTTCCCTTACTAACCATGATTTCCAGTGAGGGAGAACAGTGAGGTCGTTATAATTTACCCAGATATCATGATAGTATACATCCCCATGAAACTGTCATCAAAATGTTTGGTTTCATCATTCCCGTCCTTGCGACATCGGGAACGCACATCTGAGGCGGAGAACCGTTTGCTGCAAGGCCTCCTCAAGAGCATTCACCTGGACTCTGTAGAGATATCAATGGATAGATGAAACCTCTTGGGAACCATGTTATAATATGTTACAATCTATATAACATGTTACAATACATATCCATTGGTTATTGGTTCCCTATAAAATAGGTTACAATATGTTATAAATTATAACATAATGATGGAGCTGACATATTTTGTTTACTCCTCTAGTTACGACTGGATCTTTGGATCAATGGAATTGGATCTTTTCTTGGGAACATCTCAACCGGAAACCATGGGTTTTTACCATCAAATATTAACGAAATATAGGGGGTTCCGATAAAAATGTTCCCAGAAAAACAGCCTTAAACCAATCCCCAAACCAATGATTCAATGCCGGAAACTGCTGTTGCAATGCAAGGCAGTTGGCAGTTTTTCACACCTCCTCCATGACGGCTTCTGCAGCGCCCTCGCCACTTGGAAACTCCTGGAGTCAATGATTGAGCTGCAGAAATGGATGGTTTAAGACCCACATGTTACCCTCGGGTAATTTAACAGTTTGCTATTGAAAATGACCATAGAAATAGTTGATTTAGCCATTACAAATGGTGATTTTCCAGTTCGCAAAGTGTTAGTTTACCAGAGGGTACCAAACAATATTTTTCACATTGTCAGGGGTTGGTTTTCATGTCCTCTACATCACCCAACCAGTTTTTGGAGATTTCATCGAAACAACAAATACGGCTGAACTCCTGACGCCCGCGGCAGGCCGCCTGGGACCATCAGTGAAAATCATCATGTTTGTTTGTGTTTTGAAAAACCATCCAATGTTTGTTTGCAACTAAAATGCAAATGATTTTTCTGTTAGTACTGTGAGTTAGTTGGTCTGAAAATAGGATGCTCCCATATGCTCCCAAAATCCCATGGTGGATGTCATAGTTCCCAGAATTTATATCCCTATGAAAATGGTCGGAAACGAATCAAGCGGCTGTGGTTCAATATTTCCATATATTTCCCAGTACCCTGGAGAGAATCCTTCAATAGCTGGTAAACAGATATCCACCCAAAACATGGTATACCCTCTGGTAAACTAACATAACTGTGGAAAATGGCCCATTTATAGATGGTTCACCTATTAAAAATGGTGATTTTCTATAGCTATGTTAGTGTACCAGAGGGTAATCATCAGATAATGATCCATCCTCAGGTCCTAAAGATGTGGATTCCTTGTGAAGCCTCCCAGTCGCCCCATGCTGGGCTTCAGGCGGTCATCACCCACACTGTTGGGAAGCAGGAGCAATTGCGCGGTTGTGACGCGAGAAGCAATGCTGGTTGTGTTTGGAAGAGTCTGGCTATGATTTATCATGATTAATTGAGCATGAGTCATGTTCTAGAGATAGTAACCCCCCAAAAAAGATAGGACATATTAAATTTACTACTATCAATATATGTTATCAAGTCATTTAAAATCTATCTGTTTTCTGGCTTTTTCAGGGATATGATGGACACGAAATGTCTTTGGGGATGCCACATGAGGCTTGCTCTCCAATGTTGAAAAACATGGAGAAATAAATGGCTGTCGCAAAAAGAAAACATGAACGTCAAATGGCCCAAACACCTTTCTTTGTGTCCGAATTTGGAGACTCTTGACTCATTTTGAGGAGACTTTTGACTCATTCCCATCTTCAGAAACTTCAACCATTCCAGGTTTTAAACCTCCTAAGATTCGCAACGGCGCCAGCATGCGCCAGCTTTTCTCCGCCTCCCCTTGGATCGAGGACCGGGGTCTTCTCTCAGCACCCGGTGCTGCAGCAAGCTGTCAGTTGGAATGTGGTATCCTCCAGGAGTATGCTTTTAAATATCCCAAACAACAGAAGAAAAATTGGATGAATGCTGGTTTATCATTGGGTTTGCCAAAATAGCAGTTTGCAGTTCCTTGCTAAGCATTCACCATGTTTGGCTCATCGAACCATATCTGCGTTCCAGTTTTTCTGCTTGTGATTAGCATAGCATGGGTTTTTTTTGCCTCGTGTCCAAACGTTGTGCTTCCTGGCTTGGTGTACTTCCCAGCTGGACCATGGTATAGCCAGCTTGCCCAAGCAGGGCTGCACAACTTTGCCCGCCACTGACGCGGACTCATTAACTCCTGAGCCTAGGAGGCGAGGGTCCGTGAATGGTGAGTTACACCATGGAACGAATGGGAATCTTCAGATGTCTTGATATCTCATTGTGATTAGGTGATACCACACTCCCCTTCCTTGAAAATGGACATGTCAAGAATGGATGTTCCATGATGTGCCAGGAAGTCCTGAAATTTCTCCGCTTCTCTCCCCCAAACACCAGGCCGCAGGCCGTAGATGTCGTAGCCTTAGGCTATGCCGACACCTTGGCACTCGAAAGGTTTGGTTTGGATTTCCATAGGGAATTCACCATCAAATGGTGAGGTGATGCATCAGATTCATCAGCCCTTCAAATCTCCAAGTGGATGACCAAAATCTGCAGAGCTGATGAGTTCCAACGTGTTTTATGAAGTGCCAAGCACAGAATTTACCCAAGAAATGCTCACCATCTCCCTCTCCCCAATGAACTCTCTCAGCCTCTGAAATTCAGATGTGCTAAAACCAAGAATTTTCATGAACCTGATTATCATTTGGGGCTTTAATTGCTACCACCATGTACCATGTCATATCGGATCATATCGGAGCTTTCCAAGTACCGTCATCATCCAAGTCTTCAGAACCCCCCATGACTTGCCGCAAGCGTTGGGTCAACCGCGCTATTCCGGTACGCTCACCGGGTCCGCTTCGTCTTCGGGGTGGCCCGGAGAAACGACGCCGGGCTGGAAATACTGCAGAACCTGGGGCACGCAGATATACGACGCCATGCTATGGAAATGTTCAATAATATGTAGATATATATATATATATATAATCATATAATATCATATAATATCATATATAACAATATTTTATGCAAAAATGGAGTTCCGATTTAGAAGTTTCCAGTAAATTTTGTTTGAACCGTTTTGAAACCATGAATAAAGACACCAGTGCCTTCGTTGTCATGATAAACCATAATGAGGCTTTCGTTGGCTGGGTGAAAACTCCAGCTTCACCAGCCCAGGGCCATCATTCATGGTAGTTTGGTAATATAACACATGTGGATGCATTTTTCATGTTCCGTCTACTCTATTGTGGTAAACCCCAATGAACCTCATGTTCTGGAGGGTTTACACCAGATTTTTTTCAGGTAATGCAAAAAATGTGGATGTTTATGGCAATGGGTGGGTTTACCACATGACATGTTTGTACAATATCTCAACAACCCTACGAGTACCAAGAAACAACGGTAATGTCATCCACCACCTGACCACCTTCTTCGTAGATCCATCGATCCCACGCCTGCCGTTTTAATGGCATGATTCGATTCATCATTTGGGGGTTGTCTGAAAATCGTGTATCCCAATATGTTTTGATGAGTCAGCAATCATATCCCCTAGTATGTAAATGGATATGTATATATATATATATTTATTTATTTATTTATTTAATTTATTTAGGAGGCATACCCAATTTTCAGACACGCCCATTTGGGGTCAACATGTTTTGGCAAAGCCGACTTGGACGCAACCGTGGCGACCAACTCACTGGGCGAATCAAGACCCCCACAGTGGCTTCCACTAATCTCAAGCAACCCTTTGGCGAATCACAAATTCCAAATCTCTCATTGTCAAAATAAAAAGAATAGACGCTACAAGGCTACAATACTTTTTTTTATCCGGTCAGCACTTCATGCCTCGAGGAAATACACGAAAATTCGGAAGTATTTAGAACACTGAGTCACTGGTAGTCATTTCATCCAGGTATCCTGCTTCTCACATCTAAAAAGCTGGTAAATTGATGTTCATCATCCCCTCGAAAGATGGTAACACATTGACAAGGATTTTTACATGCTTTTACCATCCCAACTAACATAGATCCTGCCCAAGTTCAAATGCGGTGAAAAAGATACTATTTTGGGGGCAAACTCTTCACTTCTTCACTGAGAGGATGGTAAATCATATTGTTAGGTTACTCCAACGTTCATGTATGTTGATATATGTTGTATCTCCCCTGTAAAGCATCTCTATCATATTCTTATAGGTCTTATAATGTCTTATACCCCCAATGGCTAAAGGGGTCACCAGTGCTGCACCTCTTTGGCCAGTTCCGTAGCAGCATCCATGGCCTCATGCAGATGGGCTGGGAAAATTTCGGGACCAATTCCCATGGATTTATCATCACATATCATCACATATCATCATTGTCTGGATTAAAACACATCAAAATGTTTTTCTATCAAACTATCAAATACATTCATGTAAAAATAGCCGAGTTTTCCTGTTCACCAACTTCTATTCAAAATAGTAGGGATTCGGATACGAGGGATTATATAACTTTTCACTATATAACTCTTCTATTTCTCTCTGGGGGAACACTTTGACTCCAAGCAATCGAAAAGGAGGTCGCAGACTGCGCGCCAGGGCTTTGGATCAACAAACATGTGGGTGTGTTCACCAGCAGAATGGAATAGATTTTTTTTTGCCATAGGTGCCACATTGGAAAGGACTCAAGTGAGTCAACCATAGGCCCCAGCAATGAGAGTATGCATGTCATTTCAGGATATTTGAGAAACAATTGTTCTGAGCACCGATGTGTTGTGATAAATTGACGACTCTTCGGATCCACAACCGCCACCCTGAACTTGTTCCAACACTACCGTAGATGCACAGGCATGTCAGTTCCTCCCGACGATGCATAGCTTAGATATCAATAGGATTGAAGATCATTCTGTTTCCAACTTCTATAGATGCAACTTTGGGAGTTTGTTCTCTCACCACACATCCAACAACTCTCCGAAAACACGAGTTGGCTTGCTGCTTGCCGCACCTTCGTCGGAGCGAACTTGCCGACGAGTTTGACAGCCTGAGAAATTCCATCCGGCGAAACACCCTTGGAGGAACAGAAATGACACAGTTCCATGAGTGAATAGATGTGAATAGTAGGGGTTTCTTCAACTTCAACTTCTGGGAAACTCTGAGACTTTAAGAAGTTGAAAGGAAACCGCCCTGTTTATCCTGTTTTGTCCATAGATTTGAATGATCTTGATGGATTTGAAAAACTGCTGGATGAAAGTCTCCTTAAGACTCCGGTTTTGCACCCATGTCGGTTGCAACGTGCCCGGTTTCTTTGATCCAAAAGCAAAACAGAAGTAAAGATAAGTAAAATATGTAAAATATGGCTCAACCCGCGAGACATGAATTTGGTTCCAGTCAAAACATCGGTGTTTTTCTGGTATTGGGGTCAGTTCATCGGGTTCAGTATTCTCAACCCGAAAATTCCTGATATTCATGGATGTTATTCTCATCTGGGATCCATAGATCCTTCTAACATGTCTAACCCTTCTCACCATCTGGGATTTATGGATGTAAAACGATAGATTTATGCATGTTCATCCCTTCCACCGTCATCCCCACAGTGGTTTCTTCGCGTTGCCTCCATCGGGGTCATGAACTCCCAAACTCCGTCACTGCAGAGGAGCAACAACTGCAGTTGGCCGTGGATTTTTGTCGTGGCCGGTTTTAACTCAACAAAAAGGGGTTGGTAGCTTCAGGCACATCACTAGGCCCACTAGGCTCAATATATCCGACCCCTGCCAATAGCAGGGGGAGCGCGACAGAGGAGAAATTACTAGCAGCAAGGGGCAAGAAGACATGACAAGCAGCAAGGAGCAAGAGCAAGAGGCAGGAACCAACAGTGTCGCGTCAGAAAGCAATGTTAGGCATTTGGGCCGCCGGCTTCGTGCCCGATCCGTCCTTCAGCAGCATGCTGTTTGAGTGTGGCGAAGCAGCAAGTGTCGAGGAGTTTCACTTGTTTCTTGTCCGCTCTCATTGCCATGTTTTTTTAGGCTGGCGAAGGTTGCATTGCATTTTGGAATCTTGAAGGCTGCAATTTGGGGTTAGTTTCTTGTCCGTTCAGAAAGCAACGTTAGGCAGAGGCAGCCGGAGGCCGAGGGCCTCGTCCGTCCTTTAGCTGCATGGTGCTTCAGTGTGGCGGAGGCAAGGTTTTGGAGGCTTGATGGCTGCAATTTGGAGCAAGGTTCTGGAATCTTGAATCTTGAAGGCTGCATATGCCTCAGACGATAAAATTACAGGATGCTTTTTCAAGGTGATTTTAGGCACTTTTTAGCGATTGTTTGCTGTTTTTTTTTGGTGCGCACCAAGAGCCAAAACCTGCAATTTACAGTGCTTTTGTGCCTTTGGCATGGAACAAGTGCTTCTTGCAACATGCTGAAACTGCGTAAATACATGTAAAATCATGTAAATAACAATGTTTTTGTTAGGCCCTAACCAAAAAACATTGTAAATAATTACGGATATTACGGTGATTTTTGCTACCAGGAGCAAAAAACATGGTAAGTACTATGGCTTTAGGCTTCCGAGGCGCAAAAAACATCCGTATTTACCTTTTTTTGTTGTTGTTGTTGTTGTTGAAGTAGACCATGCCAGCGACCACACGTCAGCGCCGCGCGGCGCAAAGGGGTCTGCAGGCATATAGTGGCACCCAAAAAGGTGCCTCCGTAGCAATGGAAACCTTAGCAGCACCCGAAAGGTGCACGAACCTTAGTGACCCCAAAGGGAGTACGAAGAACCTTAGTGCCCACACACGGGCAAACCTGAACATCACGAATCATATCTATGTCGGAGCCGTGTTTTGCGCACGTTCACAACGTGTTGAATCCGTGCACGTGACGACTCCAGCTCGGTCCCAACCGGCCAACACAACAAAGCAGCAGCGGCCTGATGCGGCCTAGAGCACCCAACAGATGTGTGAGCCGGACAAACCCACCACTCATGCTCGCGACCAGAGATTTCGCCAAGATCACAGAACGAGCACACCGTACCCGCACGAATGCGGGCATCACTCACATACCCACCAGACAGGATCGAGAAGGCATGCTTCCCGTAATCCAAGCAATAGGACCTAGCAACAGCAACGGAATCCAAGTCAAGGGGCCCCACCTGAGAGTCACGACGGCCAGACTCACGGTGAGTATTCCACTGATGGACACGCCAAGAGCTGAGAGCATGCTGAAAACCCTGGATATCTTCAAGGCAAGCAACGTTCAAGAGATCGATACAAACACGACCCGAACGCCAACACCAAGGACGGATCTCGAACCAACCAAGATTGCCAAGCCAAGAACGCAAGCGATTCACCGTGCCATGGCAACGGTCCCAAGTGATGTCACCAAGCAAACCTTTATGCCCAAGCCGGGCATACGCCGAGAAGAGCAAACAACCAGAAGTGAAAAGGATGTCAGAACCATGCCCAACAAGGAGCTGAACAAGCGACCAAGAACTCTGACGAACCACATCAAGAGCAACACGCCAACCTTGTCTCAACTTATCGACCAAGTTGTTAGGCGGAGCGCGCTGGCACCAGCCCCAAGAAACCGCACTCATAGCCGCACTAGTACACAAGTGTGCTTTCCGCAAAACACCATGATGCAAGTAACGACACTTCCGCAAGACCGTCATGGCCCGCTGAAACCGAGCAAGCTCTTTCTTAGAAGAACCACGGGAATCCGAGCTGGCAACTTCGACACCAAGGATCGTGACACTATGTGACGCCGCACAACCACGAGTCTTAAGGGCCTTCCGCCCAAGGGCCGTTCTATGGAAGAACTGGGCTTTGCTGTGATTTTCACGAAAACCAAGGCGCGCGCTTTCACGCTCCCAGAAGTTCCACACCTCAACACACTCAGCAGCCGAGTCACAACACCAAGTACGGTCATCCACGTAAATGACTTGCAACAAACGAGGGAATCGGGTCTGCAACTTCAGCACCGGGATACGCAACAACAAGCCCAAAGCAAGCACGGCAAAGGGGTCACCCTGAGGCATGCTCTCGGTAACACCAATAAACTCGTGATGAACCGAAGAGCCCCAACACAGCAGCCGACGCTGCCTCCAAACACCCAGAATGCCCCGCACGAGAGCCGCAGGGCAACCTGTGTGAACCATGGCAGCGCCCGCGGAGAAAGGCCGAACATGATCGAAAGCTTTCGAAAAATCAAGCGAACCAAGAAAGCGATTGTTGTCAACATGCTCAAACAAACGCAACATGATGCTCAACACATCCGACCCACGGCGACCACCACACAAGGCAGCAGGCAAGACCCGATTGATCCACCGAGCAACACTGGCCGACTTGAGCCGTGCAGAGGCATACGCACGCCAAAGCACAGAGAAGATACTGGTCGGCCTAAGCTGACTGGCGGGAACAGACAAGGAAACGTCCGAGGATGAAGAAGGCTTAACCAAGTGGATCTGCTTCACAAAAGACCAAACCGACGGGAAAACACCAAGCAACTCGCACACACGCAAGGCACGCGCAAGCACAAGCCAACACGAGTGAGGAAAGAGCAAGAGCTCGGCGCCCAGCCACCCATCCAGACCGGCCGCCTTGCCACGTTGCCGAGAACAAGCAGCACGAAGCTCGAAAGCAGTCACAGCCGGCCAAACCTCGACCTCACAGGGATCTTCATATTCCGTTAAGTAGGCCGGCATGTCGCTTTCGCTCGAGCCATCACGAAACCAGATGGTCGACCAAAAGGACACCAAAGTATCAAGCACCTCACGCACGTCGGAGCTGACCCTATGGTCAGCACTTTCATCATTGAACACATTTTGAGTATAGGAAGGCTGCCTGCCACGCAACCACCGATAGAGATCAGGGTCCGTTTGCATCTTGTCCTTCCAGCGGGCAATCCGAACAGCCTTAGCCCTTTGCTCAAGAACTTGGATACGAGAAGCAACATCAGCCAAAGTGAGCTCAGGCGTCCAAAACCGACAGCGGCGGATACGCGGAACCGTGGAACAGTCACGACCCTGACGCACACACTCAGACATGCGACCGTACAACCGCAACAACACACGCAACTCGTTCGAGGCATGGCACAGATACGGCCTTTGGTGATGAGGCAACCGCTCACGCAAGCACGGAGCACAACCTTTAGCACGGAACTCAGCAGTAGGGCGACAATCAACCAAACCCGCCTCGCGCAAGACGGACTCGAAGATGTTCTGGAGCTGCTCCCACAATGAGTCGACATGCTCAACCAGGTGCTCAGACGAAGCTTGCAAAGCCTCAAGATGACCCACCACAGCATCAGCACGCTGCAAGCCAGAGCGAGACCAAGCAAGCTCAACAGCCGCACAAGCTTCACCTTCCAAACCGATCCTAGGCAAGTACCTGAGGCACGGACGAACTTCCCAAGTACGGGCAACATCAAGCTGGACAAGGTTAAGGTTGACCGCGACAGCTTTGTGATCAGACCAGCGGGTGGGCAAACACCAAGCATTAACACCAGGCAAAGTCGTGACCGCATAGTCAATGACCCTGTTGCCTTCCCAACGTGTAGCGGTCACCCCCTCCGGAACAACAACCGAAGCACCTTCGCAACACACAACGTCGTTGAACCAATTGTCCACCGGGACAAGATTCCAGTCACCAAGCAAGCACCAGGCGGAGCCACCAGCCATGGTAGTGTCAAGCACGGAACGAAGGAACTCGTCACAGTCCTCATGATGCGCCACATAAACGGAACCAAGCAGGGTACCATTAACGGAGGCAAACACCGCTTGACCACCCGAAGTAGAGAGCACCTCGAACGGACGCGACCGAAGCCAAGTGGCAACCAACATCACAACACCACCCTTAGGACCGACAGAAGGTGCATGAAAGCCCAAATAGCCCAAGTGACGCGCACACGCGACAAACGCACGAAACTGCTCTTCAGTGCCAGAGAACTCTTGCAAGCAGACCACCGGATATTCACACCGTTTTTGTGTATTCAGCCAACGCCAGGCGCCAACCATGCCACCAACATTCAAAGACAGCACACAAAGATCTTGATGCCCACGAAAGCGATGCCGGGGACCGGGATGCGCGGCCTCCCCGACGCGCTCATTGCGGTGACCACCAAGCCGGACGTCAGCAGCGTCCTCAGGTTCACCATGCACGGCTTCCGACACGTTCGGAGGACAAGGAGGAAAGTCAACCCAGCGAGCAACGGGAGCCAAACAACGACGGACCGGGGATTGCTCAAGCTCACGCGGAAGCGAGTCCAGGGCACGCAGAGGTCTCTTGCCATTGATGCGACGAACCAAAGGGGCACCAGCCAACAAGATTGCAGTCACCTCATCAGACAGGCCACACATGTTGCGCAAATGCACCACATTGTCAGAGCTCTGAGCCGCAAACCTACACAAGTGACGCCACCAAGACATGCGATCCGAAGGACCTCGACAAACCGCCGAAACCTGTGCAAACCGATTGGACCCGCCCGACCGCCAGCAGCGCCGACACACAAAGTTGGACTCAACCGATTGCCCACGCTTGTGCTTAGCCGGACAAAACCGAAAGACATGATGATCAAGAAGGTGACCGTTCAAGTTCCTAATAACTTCAAGCTTGGCTTGGGCCTCAGCACGCTTAAGAGCACCAACCTTGTGACCACGAACACTCATACGTGCACGCACCTCTTTATCCTCCCGTTGCTTGGCACGGTAGGCCTCAGTGGGCGTAACACCAGGGTGCTTAGCACGAAAGTGTTCCTGAATGGCTCTGTCATGCGTAAACCTATGAGACATGCGAGGAAGAGCTTCACCGCACAAGTGACACACCCAATCCTGCAAATGCACCGGCAAGGCCGAAGAAGCAACAGGAGCAGGCTCTTTTTGATTCAACCTGGGGATCTTGCCCTTACCATAAGCATCTTTGTGTTGCTGCGTCAAGTGATTATCCTTGCGCCACCTCAACATCAACCGAGCACGCGGACCAGCCGGGGCACGCACCATGAAGCCGCACAGCGGGCAGGTCCAAGACTGTTCACGTTGGTTTTTCGGATTCCAAGCATCTTTCTTCCGAGGATACGGACACGTGTCCGGATCAAAGACATCATCATGATCAAACACATGCACCTTGGACCCACGATCAGGCGAAGAGACAACCGATCGCACCGCACTGGCAACAACATCCAGACTGTCAACAACCGTGGACGAAGGACGCCAGGAACCACCAGGAGACCGAGGAGGATCGGAGGAAGAGCCCGGACGGTCACGAGAAGAACCAGGAGTGTGAGAAACCCGCCACGAAGCCGCCGCAACAGACGGGGCCGCCACCGAAGCCCCAACAGAAGCAACCTCAGAACGGGAGCCAGGGGACTGCGGAGAAGGGGGGGTAGCAGGAGCACGCCAACCATCAATCCGCCGACCGCCACCACGACACAAGCGCGTCGAAGCTTTAGCTTCTTCAGCTTGAATCCACTCCTCAGGATATTCACAACCGGGTTTAAGCACCGCAAGCTGGTAGTGACCATCTTTTAAGACCAAAACGACAGGACCATCCTTATGATTGGCAGCAACACCAAAACTCATCGGATCATTACGACGACCAGTGTCATCGCCAAGGTCAATGACAACGATCTGAACACCAAAGCGCCTGCTTGCCGCAAGGAGAGTCAAGCCACAAACCCAACGAGTATCACGCAAGGTGGCCGCAAGGAATTCCTCCCAAGTATAGGAACAGGACCACCCTCAAGGGCTTCCGTGGTATTCGTGTCAGGCCAAAACCAAGAGCTTGTTGAAGTAGACAATGCCAGCGACCACGACCACGCCCGGCATCGAGCGCAGGAGTCTGCAGGCCAAAAAAGAATCCTCAAAATTAAAACACCGCGGCCCAAGGGCCACCAGTCGACCGATGGCAGAGCGCAGGTAGTCGGTAACCATCAGGTAGGCAGGCAAAACTTGCAAGCTGGGACCCGTAAAACTGATCCTCATCAAAAGCTCGACCCATAGGGCCACACAGTCCAGAATGATGCCAGAGCGCAGCCACCGTTAGCAATCACCAGGGCTTGAGCTGTACAACCAGCAAAACGAATTCCTGTACGTAGCAGAGCTCCAAGATGAGCCACCCCATGAGGACCACTGCAGAAAAACCACAAAGCGCCTGAACCGCCAAAGGCGCGAACCAAATTCCCATCATGCTTGACCATCATGAAGTGGAATCGAACCACAAGCTATCGGTGCGAAGGGACACCGAGCAGGCTGCCGCCTCAACTTCCAGTTGCCACGCGGTGCAGCACCAAAAGCCGGAGGAATGCCAATCCTCTCCCTTACACCAGGGCCACCAAATAGCGGAATTGAACCGCCAGGTGCTGTCGACAAAGGTAAATGCCGCCGGGGGAATTTGTAACCAGGTTGCTTCCCGCCGACCATGGCAGCCGGCCCCCCCCGGAGGGTATTTACCTTTTTTTGATGATTTTCGCCCACAGCGCCACCAAAGCCGCAGCGCAGCCACCACAGCCACAGCGCAGCCAGCCAGCGCGGGGCAGCCGCCGCATAGTGCCCTGCCCACGGCAGGGATTAATCGTGTCCACGTCGAGCACGTAGACAGGCAGCCCTGGAGCTGGCCAAGCATAATGATATGACCTGCAAGTCATGTTCTGCGTCCCGTCCTTCAGGCCAACCAAGACGTTTTTGGATAATTGACATCGGTGCCAGTCCGTCCTTTCTAAACGGATTTTGGTTACACAGCCACACAACATGTTCTAACGTGCGCTCAGAACCACTGCAAAATGGGCAACATTGCGGAGAACCACTCATTACCTCATATGCCTTGGGAGACACGAAAGCACCAGTGAGGCAAGCCAAACTGTCTGCATTCAGGTTGACCTTTTTCAGCGCAGCAAAATGTTCTGCAGTAATTCTAACATCAACACATTCGGCGGCATCCCTCCGATTGGATTGACGCCATTCTTCAAAGTTTGAGAACCTCCATGCATCTCTCAAACGATGCTGGAGAAAACCGTTGGGATCATTCATTGGCCTAAGTGCATTAGGATGAATTTTAATAGTGCCCACTCTGTCGTGAGTCCATTCCCAAGGACCAACTTCCGTCAGTCCGACATTTTCCATGGCAATTCGGAGGCTGCCATTCCAACCACTACGGGCGTGGGGCCACGCAGGTAGTGCTCGCCCAGTGCGAATCACATATCTGGTGAGAACTCTGAGGCACGTACTTGCACTAGCCAAGTGCAAGTCCCAATTGTGGCCGGTCACAATCTTCAAAAGCGGCACACTGGATTGTTTGGGCCAAGTGTGAAATGTTTTCGCCAGTTGAAAGAAGTCGTGGGCCTCTGCTTGCGTAGGTTGTCTACAGACCAATCCCCAGCCAGCCACAGTGGGCACTGTCATGCGCGCCATGCACTGTTGGCGTGCACCACCACCGGGCAAGCATCGGCATTTGCGAGCTTTGACTTTGGCTGTGTGTTCCTTGCCCACAGCTTTTCTGCGCTGTGCCGGCATAAAGTTGAAGCCAAGGATGCAAGTAGCATCTTCCAAGCTGGCAGCTGGGAGCCCCAGCTTAACCAGCTTTCGTCTGATGGGTTTGTTTCTATGAAAAAATTGTTCTTTCCCAACACTCTCCTTGAGACCAATTTTTGCAGTGTTTTCGTGCCACATATCACGCACCTTCAGAGCCTCAAGCGGCTCGGGACTGACAAAGCTGCGATCATCTGCATAAATGGCTTGAGTGGTTGCAGGGAATTGGCGTTCAATTCTGTTGCCAATAGGTAAAAGGACCATGCACATGGCCAGCATGGACCAGCAGTCGCCCTGCGGCAAGGAGTTGCCGACCAAGCAAGGTTGCTTCAGGATTTCGCCTTGGTACTGCAGAAATCTGTTTTGATTTGTCCACGTATGCTGCAACAGCGCAGCGGTGTGCGATGGCATGCCAAGGTGTCGAAACACTTTGCATGCCAGCTCAGGAGAGGTGCGATCAAAGGCCTTGTCCAGGTCCAGCGTGCAAACTATCCCCCCGGTCATTTCTTTGACCAAAATTGGTGCGATAGCATCTTCGACACCTTTGCCCGGAATTCCACCATAGAGAAAGGAAGGCATAGTTCTGAGGATCCATTGAATTGTTGTACTTCAGGCAGTCGATATTTCGCATTGTTGGCGATTCGCCACCACACAGAGGTAACAGACACCGGACGGAGGTCCGCTGCCAAGACGCTGCCATCAGGTTGAGGTGGCTTTCCCTTTGGCAAATGGATTTGCCTGACATTGCACCAAGCCGAAGGAATTCGACCCGAGTTTCGCAATGAGCGAAAAAGGAGAGGAAGACATGCCACATGTCGTCCGTGAGGCGACAAAGTTCATCAGCCTGCCACATATATCCAATCCCGGAGCAGTACCACGGGCTCGTCGAGCCGCAGCTTGGATGTGTTCAACCTGGATTGCAGGCCATTGGTCGGGGCCCATCTGAGCCGGAGTAAATTCCGTAAAGTCATCCCAGAGGGCTTCAATGTCGATGGCTTCACGCTCCCAGATAGCTTTCCAATAATCACTGAGATTCTGCAAGCTTTCCTGGAGAGTACCACTTGGCGTCGCATTGGGAGAAACCTTGACCGAAGGGTAGAGAGGGCTACGTTCTTGACGAAGCCATTTAAGAGCATGCTTGTCATGTTGCATCTTCTGAGTCCACCGATCCAATCTGGCACGATCAGCTTGGGCAGTGTGCTGCTCCAAAGTGCGAGAAATGATCTGAATATTCATCTGGATCCCTTTGGAAGGGTCATAATACTGACTACGTCTGATTCGATCCCACAGGGCTTTCTCATGCATAGCTTGAGCCACAGAGATTCGAGCTTGATTTTGCATTCTTTGAGCCTCGTGCAACCTGGCCAGCAGATTGCTGAGATGTCGTTCTTTGAAAGTGGCAAACCATCCCGCCGTGGGTTTGACCAACCTGTCACGTGTTTTGATTTGGACCTTATCAGGTTTGCCCCTACGGAGCAAGGCCGCAGGCACCGAACTGACCGTTTCCGGCGCCAGCTCAACTTGAGTTTGAAGCAAAGTGTCAAAAAAGGTCTTCGAAAGCTGCGCCCAATCCTGATCCAAGTCCTGCGACCAAGATTGCGGAACTAATTGCTGCTGTTGGCACCACACTCTGTTGGCCGCTCTCTGCCACACAGCGTCAGAACCTTGGTATGGTGGAATCCTGGGGCTAGGCGCCAGGCTCACACTGGGATGTCTTGATTCCTGAAAATCGAGCTGGAGTTCCTGAATGATATGATCAGAGATGTGAATTTCCGGGGCTGAAGGTGTGCCATGGTATTGATCGCTCAAAAAATAATCAATACATCTCTTTCCATTCCACCGCGTGGGCTTGCCCGAGGCAAGAATTTCAAAGGCCTCAGCGCCAAACACATATCTAAAGGGACATTCCTCCGGTGTGGCATTGAAGTCCCCCCCCATGACCCATTGCGTGCCTTGCGGCAGAGAAAAAAGTTTGGCCACAGTTAAAGCAAAAACCTCCTGGGACTCAAACGTAGGTGCTAAGTAGAGGGAAATCAGCAACTTACCCCCCAACCAAACCGCTTGAGCAGAACCACCCACATGGCAAAGTTTCCAAGCAGGACGAACAACCAGGTTTTTCTTGACCAGGATGGCCGTTCCCCCATGTTTGTCTTGGCCATCCACCTTAGTGTTGGCTCCTGAGAAAAATGAATGAAAACCGTCCCTATCGACCCTCCGCTGAAAGGATGGCCATTCAGGATCTTTGAAAGAAGCTTCCTGCAGAAAAACAACGTCAGGACCACCATTCTGCTGCAGATGATTAAGTAAAGACCAGGCGCCAAGGGCCCCGGCCGTATTGCATGACCAAACAAGAAGATTCCTCGAATTGGATCGTCTAGATCTTGGTCCAGGGTGGGCAGCCTCGCCAACTCGGACAAGCAGTGTGAGGGTCCTGGGCTTCCGTGACCTGAGGCCTTCGGCCCAGCCAGCACCTTTTCTTGCTCAGATTCCGTCAGTTGAAAAGCTTTGACTGCTGCATCATAGTTAGCAGCACTGACCCCCGTAAACTTGTTGAGAAACGTTTTCACAGTTTTTGAGACGTCCTGTTTGCGATCAGAGCAACCATATTTTTGGAACCTTGTCGGGGGATTAATCTTGCGACATGTTGCGCAACATAGTCTGCTGAAACAATTTTGCTGTCTGTAGAAACCTCCTGGCGGAGCATCCTTGAAGACAACATAGTTGAGGGTATGGTCTGTGTCAGGGGCACATGTTGACAAATTGTCAATGAGCCGTTGGAGCTTGACCTGCCCCACATGCGCTCCCCGTTGAGACATCCTGTGGCGAAGGGCCACGTCCTCTTTTTGTTTTTGTCTATACGCCTCAGTCGGAGTGACTTCCGGGTGTTCCTTAGCAAAGTGTTCACGAATGCTGCTATCATGTGAATGTCGAGGTAAAGAAACCAAGCCCTTATGACACAAATGACATTCCCATTTCCGAGCTTCAGGAGGGACATCGTGACTAGGCATGGTGCATGTAGAACCTTAGTGACCCCAAGGAGAGGACGAAGAACCTTAGTGCCCACACAAGGGCAAACCGGAGCATCACGAGTCATATCTGTGACGGAGCCGTGTTTTGCGCACGTTCACAACGTGTTGAACCCGTGCACGTGATGACTCCAGCTCGGTCCCAACCGGCCAACACAACAAAGCAGCAGCGGCCTGACGCGGCCTAGAGCACCCAACCGTTGTGTGTGCCGGACAAACCCACCACTCATGCTCGCGACCCGAGATTTCACCAAGATCACAAAACGAGCACACCGTTCCCGCATGAATGCGGGCATCACTCACACACCCACCAGTCAGGATCGAGAAGGCATGCTTCCCGTATTCCAAACAATAGGACCTAGCAACAGCAACGGAATCCAAATCAAGGGGCCCCACCTGAGAGTCACGACGGCCAGACTCACGGTGTGTATTCCACTGATGGACACGCCAGGAGCTCCTGAGAGCATGCTGAAAACCTTGGATCTCCTCAAGGCAAGCAACGTTTAAGAGATCGATGCAAACACGACCCGGACGCCAACACCAAGGACGGATCTCGAACCAACCAAGATCGCCAAGCCAAGAACGCAAGCGATGCACCGTGCCATGACTACGGCCCCAAGTGATGTCACCAAGCAAACCTTTATGCCCAAGACGGGCATACGCCGAGAAGAGCAAACAACCAGAAGTGAAAAGGATGTCAGAACCATGCCCAACAAGAAGCTGAACAAGCGACCAAGAACTCTGACGAACCACATCAAGAGCAACACGCCAACCTTGCCGCAACTTATCGACCAAGTTGTTAGGAGGAGCGCGCTGGCACCAGCCCCAAGAAACCGCACTCATAGCCGCACTAGTACACAAGTGCGCTTTCCGCAACACACCATGATGCAAATAACGACACTTGCGCAAGACCGTCATGGCCCGCTGGAACCGAGCAAGCTCTTTTTTAGAAGAACCACGGGATTCCGAGCTGGAAACTTCGACACCAAGGATCGTGACAGTATGCGACGCCGCACAACCACGAGTTTTAAGGGCCTTCCGCCCTTGCGCCGTTCTGTGGAAGAACTGGGCTTTACTGTGATTTTCACGAAAACCAAGGCGCGCGCTTTCGCGCTCCCAGCAGTTCCACACCTCAACACACTCAGCAGCCGAGTCACAACACCAAGTACGGTCGTCCACGTAGATGACTTGCAACAAACCAGGGAAGCGGGCCTGCAACTTCAGCACCGGGATACGCAACAACAAGCCCAAGGCAAGCACGGCAAAAGGGTCACCCTGAGGCATGCTCTCGGTAACACCAATAAACTTGTGATGGACCGAAGAGCCCCAACACAGCAGCCGACGCTGCCTCCAAACACTCAGAATGCCCCGCACGAGACCCGCAGGGCAGCCAGTGTGAACCATAGCAGCACCCGCGGAGAGAGGCCGAACATGACCAAAAGCTTTCGAAAAATCAAGCGAACCAAGAAAGCGATTGTTGTCAACATGCTCAAACAAAAGCAACATGATGCTCAACACATCCGACCCACGGCGACCACCGCACAAGGCAGCAGGCAAGACCCGATTGATCCACCGAGCAACACAGGCCGACTTGAGCCTTGCAGAGGCATACGCACGCCAAAGCACAGAAAAGATACTGATCGGCCTCAGCTTACTGGCGGGAACAGACAAGGAAACGTCCGAGGAAGAAGAAGGCTTAACCAAGTGAATCTGCTTAAAAAGGAAATTTACCTTTTTTTGCTCCGAGAGTCTCAAAAAAAATGCAAAAAACACCACCTATTTGACGATGTTCGGCCATTACGAGAATGAGAAAAAAGCTGCAGGGGTGAAAACAACAACAACAACAACAACAAGAAGAAGAAGAAGAAGCAGAAGCACACAAATGCGACAAAAAGATGTGTGGCAAGACGGTTACAAGCTGCGGTATGAAAAGAACATCACACTGTGCTACACCAACGCCCACTACGTATACATAACCCTTATGGCCTTATGGCATCGCCGGTGTGCAAAGCTCTACAATAAGATTCATGGTGGAGATATCGGACTAGTTCGGTGGGGAAACTAAAGTTACTAAACCAACATCACTGTTGGCCCCTTCCTGCAGTTACATTCATTTATAATAGCCATTTTTGCAGCTGATGAGGCAAATGACGGCAGCTGGCTATCTCAGAATTACAAACCTGTTGGTGGTCCAAATGACTATCATCAAAGTTGTCTGTTTAGTTTTTCAGAGGCGACATCTAGTAAGCAGACAGAAGTGTTGTTAGGAAATCGTCATCCTCAGCAACTTGTTAAAAGCGGAGGCTAAAGCTGTGGTGGAAACCATCCAAGCTGGTGTGTCTTGCTTGAACTCCTTGAGGCAAAAATACCAGCTATTTAAAATCTGGATGGAACCAAAGTTGCTCTTCGATGCTTTTCTGTGGCAATATGGAAATCACCTTCTTCCAGAGCTTTGAAGGGCTACAAGCATCACTGATGGACGGTCTAAAAAGATGCGGGGCCCGAAGTCCAACCGATTACCATCATTTTAGCCATTGAATTCCATTGACATAGCCGTTTTGGAGGGATATCGTGTACCCCAGTTTCAAACAAACCTGTCCATTCAAAATTCAAACTGCTTCCGCCTTGTCTTCAGACGAAGGTTGGAACTGAGTTACCTGGCGCGCCATAAAATAGACAGCGGGGACAATCAATGGAAAACAGTTGAAAGCCACCACTTGAGCCATACTTGAATGGGTATACGGTATAGCTAAGTCTTATCTGGTGCTTGTGCAATCTTGTGCACGCGTGGACTCAAAAACTTAAGGACATTTCAAAGGGGTCTTGGCTTTGATGCATCCCGGATTGCCAAATCAGCTGTAGCAGTTGCAGCCAGATTTCAGTGTTTAAGCATGTTTAAGCTATGAACAGTTTCCAAGCACGAGTCTTGATTCGCAGGGCTTTCAGGATATCTGAAAAGATGTATCATGAATCATGAAGGTCTCTCCGGCATAAAATGAACCATCAAATTGGGCATCTTTGATTGCCTTTGGGGATGTTTTTTTGGCATCTACCCGCGTCAACTCAGCTTAAGTTCGGAGAAAACTTCATCCCGTCGACTGTTGCAAAGAGGATATGGATGATGTGCTTCAAAATTGAAGCACTCCAAAACTTCGATGGTGTACCATGGTGGACAGACATAACGATACAGAATCTGCTGTCTCAGGGGCTGAACCCCCAGATTTTGACGGCCATACCTCGGGTTCGCAAGTCATTCCGCATTCCTGGCTGATTCGTTGGACGGAAACCCGGACCCGGAGCAGGTCAGGCACTTAAGGAGTTCATCAGGCTTGGTCCTCAAATTGGGAAGGGAAACGCCGTTGTTTTTTTGAATGAAATGGATCTGATCCCTGGTAAGTCATTTCTGGAACTCTCTGGGTACCAACAAAGATGGCTGGAAAATCCATGGCCCGTCCTTGTGACCCATGAAGTCTCCAAGACATCTGGACATGTTGAGCCTCAGTGACCAGCAGACTTCCGGGCTGTGGATGCTCATCTGCTGGAAACCTGTGAGATCTGATCCCGGAACCGTGTGAGATGGAAATTAACCAAATCTGTTCCCATCCAAGGAAAACACCTTGAATGGTGCATCATACAGTAATCCTTTCCCCCAGAAAGCATGGTTCAAGGGTTCTCCGATTCTCCAAATCTTCGGGTCCGGTGATCTTCGCTGCGAATTCTCCTATTCTTCGCAGAACCAAAATCAAAAGAACACGGTGAATTCAACAAAATATACCATGTGGTTATTTAACAGTTTGCCATGGAAAATCCACCCATGCTATTAATAGGTAAACATGGCTATGTTAGTCATCACCAGAGGGTACCATTTCTGGGGAGCTCTGGGCTTGACATCCATCTCCGCGGCCGTATATCGCTGAGGTACCCAGGATATCTGCTATTCCTGGCGACAACGGCAGGCTGTAGATGATGTTACCACCAGATAAACCAAACCACTTACTCATCCCAGCAGCATGTTTTGGACGGTCTCCCATGGGGAATCCCATGGTTCGGGCGACTTTCAAAAGTCCAGCACCCTCCCTGCCCTGGTGCTGCAGGGGCCTCCCTGCATAAATTCGGTAGTTCGCATAACCATCGTACACCACCTTTCCGCCAGCCTGCATGGAGTTTCCCGCCGTTTTGGTCAACTGTCACGCTCGACTGTCACGCTCATATTACGCGGAAGAAAGGCATGCATCGTTGGTTTCAAGGGTAAGAGTTGTGAAAGGAGCTGTTGAAGTTCACAAGGCATGACTAATCAGGTTCTTCATCCTCGGTCATGGTCATGGTCATCAGCATAGCGAGGAATTCATGATCCAGTCCATTCTTCAGAGGCAATGTTGGGAACCGGAAAATCATCAAGTCCACCATGTCTTTTTATGGCTGCAGGGAGTTGCGCATGATTTTTTTCTGCGGACCCTGCCGCATTCTACAACTGATACAGTATACCGTGGGATTCAGCTGTCAGAACCACAGGTCCAGCCGTCCAGCCTTTTCTATTCGAGCTCTCTCGTCCTGGACAGCTGACAAAAATCAGAGCAGATTTTATCGAGACCCCTCTGGTAAACAACCCGCATCAGCAAAAAAGATGTGTCTGGTTGTTTCTGGGTCAAACATCTGTTGGTTGATATCCATGTATAATCATCCTGAAGTCGATAGAATATGGGATGTTCATGGATGTTCAACCTTATATATTCCCATTTTGGTGAGTTATGGTGAGTTTGTTTGGAAATGTTTATCTACTCCAGATCATTGTTTACAGGCAAATCATCTGGTTGCTGATATCCATGTGTTCCGTAAATATCGATGTTTGGCAAAAGAATTGAATGAGAAACTTTTTTGAGCAGAGCAACTCATGCCTTTTGTCTTCTGGTCTTAAGTTTCAAGCCTCTTGAGGCGCAACCTTCCAAACCACAGTAGGGGTACCTTGAGATTCGGCTTGTGCTCACGGGTCAGCTGAACAGCTTCCCAAGCGCCACCCTGACAGCTGCTGATTTACCAACCATTTGATGCATTCCATAGTCATGGGATGTCATGGGGTATAGCTAGATGGTTTAGTTCATGGAAAATCCCCACAATGAAATGAATGATTTGGGGGTATACCCCGATTTTAGGCTTTTGATCCATAGCCATTGACGGGAAAAAAAACAGGGAAAAAGTGGGTGGAAAGCAAAAACCGTCCAAAAATTGTTTGGTCGGAATTTGCTACAGCAAAAGATCAGGACATGCAAACCTGGCACATTGATCAGCCCGACATCAACGAAACATCACGAGCGGTTTTAGTGTCTCAGCCCCCTTTGGATTCATCCCATGAAGATGTCGATCCTGAACACATCACTATCCTCATCAGTATCGTCTTTATATTCTTCATCGCCATCACCATCACCTCCTTCATCATCACTTTATTCCTTTGATCACCTAATATCACCTAATCATCTCTTTGATCCCCCTTTTCATCATCATTTTGGCATCCATAAATCCACGAGAAACCAGCATGCCGCTGCCAAGCCTTCTTTTCCTTGCCCAGTACTGCCACACTATCAGCAACATGGGCAACCTGTCTCAAACAGGTTCACAGAGCCAATTTTTTCAGGATCTAAAATCTCAAACCTATCCTGATGTCTCAGTTTTCAGGACTCAAATCACCCTGCCACCCATTTATCGTATTCAACTATATAATTAATTTCATTTAGCAGTCCCATACCATACCCAACACTCATTCAACAGCTTCTGAAGAAACATATGACATATGACATCATCCTTGGCCCAAAAAAAAGACCACCACCTTCACACCAGGCTTGGCACAACGTCTTGGGCTCAAGCAGTCACAACATTCTGCTTGTGATCATGCAGTGCCACGGTGGCAGTAGTACCCGACCTTAGACCAACCGGGTACTCAACGGAAGTCCTTTGAGGGTTGATCCATGGGATCTCAAGCCCCACAGGGAGCAAGAAATTGGAAACTCCCCAACATCAAACTGTCTGTGGTCATGATGAGGTGTTGAACAGCTAATCCAGACAGCTGTTGAACAATCGGAAACCTTTAGGTGTCAGCCAATGGACTTGGGGACGACCAACATGGTTGGCCGTGTAGTGTCTTCCCTCAGTTCTTCCTGCATACTGCATACTCTATGAAATTCCATGAAAATCTCATCACTAGTCCCGTTTTAATCATCAACCACCAGATTGCCAACTGGCTTTGTAACATTCTCAAACTTCGGCCCCAAAATGGCTGGGAATCGAAAAAAAATCCAGGGTGGAATGGAAAAGCCATAGATCCCAACTTGGGCGGGGGTTCCCAATGGGTTCCCCGACAACCTCGCAGTGAGTTGTTTCGAGCTGTCCGCCAGGTCGATCAAATCTTGCATCTTCTGAAAGCAATCCTGGCGCGCTGAAGCGGTGAAGCGGTGAAGGGAACCCGGCCTATCCCACGACCATCAGGTTGCTCTGCCATGTTTGGCTTTACAAAATTTGATAAGATGACCAGAAGAGTCTTGGATGGTAAGGACTAGGGTTTGCTATGGTTTCGTCAGCCAAGCGGATGCAGATGCTGTTGATGCGCTGATGCGCCATTACGACGATAGGCATCTTATACAAAGAAGATGAAGGGAAACATCTGGAACACACCACAAAAGATTCATCATGATCATGACTATGGCTATGGTGATGATGAGGAGGAGGGAGGAGGACTGTTCGGACTGTTGGTTTTAGGTCGTTTGAGATAGTTGGATTGTTGGAATATGCTCATATGAGTTATTGCGAGTAGCTGAGTAGCTGTTTGTTTTTTTCAAACATGGATAGTTCTACCCAAATTATACCCAATAACCACTCTTAAATGGAGCTATACCCCCACATGTCGGTGGTTTTAGCTCTGTAACTGGTGTCTTCTCCCAGAGATTGGAAGCTTCCAAAACCCCAAAACCTGGAGGCGTCGCCGATCTGGACTGGTTCCATCCCGAATGAGCCCACAGTTCGTACTATAAAATAGTGATAACAAATGGATAGTAATTGTATGTTGATGGATAAAAAAAGGATAGTCTCATCATCTCATCACAATATGTTTGTCCCTTTTTTCATCCATCAACATAGAATTGTATTACTAATACCATCCATTGTTTTTTGGGAGTTTCCTATGGATTTTGATCCGGATGATCCCCCCAAATCCTGGAAAATCTGAAAATCATTCCAGTGACCTCCCAATTTTTGGGGCCATTGTACAGTAATTCATCCAGATACTAAGATACTAAGATACTATTACTATCCATAATTTATCATTTAAGTAGATTGTAGTGACTATAAATCATGGGAAAATATTATATCTATATTCTATATATCATAATGAATTACAATATCCCATGGTTATATCCAGTTGTAGTAATTAATCATAGTAAATTGCCATATTAATTCCATACCTAGTAAATTACCATGTATATATGATAATATATATATACGTGTATATATATATATATTATCATAGTAAATTACCACTACTATCCACTCTCTTCCCCATGGGAAAATTCCACTTCACCACTTTTCTTCGCCTTCATGAGATGAGGAAGAAGCTCCGAGCCCTTCTTGAAGCGCTCATCCTGAGCAACGCCGCTTGCGTCTGCTGGAACGGATTCATTCAGCAAATGCCAACAAAATATATGATATTGTACCCTATTAATCCATATCATATATTACTATCTATAAATATAAATTGATTTTATATATATATATAATATAATATATATATATATGAGGTTTGAAGCCACACTTATCAATATGGATCTGTAATTTACACTTAGCCACTTGAAAGAATTGCCTTCCAGTTCCAATGTCAACTGCTGACCGTGCCGCAGGATGAGTTGGGAAGCTGAGAACCAGGCCACCAACATGATCTTCGGCAAGTTGTCCTTGACATAAAGAGACACGTCATGACCTGGCACAAGCTGGAAGAGACCCTCCAAGTTGTCCAGATGATTCATGATGATTCCAGATCTGGAAACCCCCCACCTTTTTGACCGTGGCCATCAAAGACTGCATGTAATGTGAACTGGTCTTCCACCTTCAGGTAGAACCAAGAGTCCTGGAAAAACGTGAGAATTCCTGGCACTTCTCAGGTTTGTCCATCTTAGATTCTTGGGGATTAATCAAACATTCTGATCATTGGCATCGCAAAAAATATATCATCCAGCGACTTCATGGCAGATCCCAAATCAGTTGGATATGCCAACGTTCTTCATGTGTTTGGCAGCTGCAACATCAATGGCCATGACGGATGTTCATCAAATCCTTCCCATTTTTTTTGCGTCTGAAAATAGGATACTTCAAAAAAAATCGATGATTCCGATGATTCCTCATCATCTTATATCATCTTATATCATCTTACCACCTTTTCCTTACTAAAATGGCCAAACACAGCGACACAGCGGCTCCTGGTTTGGGCTCTCTGGTTTGAGACCCTTACGACATGTGTAGCCCAAGTGAGCGGCCTCCTGCAAAAAAAAATGTTTGGTATCAAGCATCTAATTATGGTACCCAATGTTGACCTATAATCAAAATATACTAAAGTACAAACTTGATCAATACGTGACCCTCTGACTTGCCAACACATCCAACGAACTTTCCGCTCTGCTCAATATGAAACTCAGAACCATTTGTAGGTGTGCGAAGCCTCCTATGGACTCTATAACTATAGACATCTTATTATGGACTGGCGATGCAAGCGGTCATCATACAGACCAAGAACATCCACGAACCATATGGCATACTCCTTTACTGGCAAGAACTGAGGCTCACACCGGATCGATCTCATCTCCCATTTGCTGCACGGATTTGTTCACGAAAGATTCCTTCCTGGGTTTCCCCAAAAGCTTTGCCCATGAAATACCAGTAGCAGGTTCAACATGGGGTCAATGAACTCCAAAAACACGTCGGTAAAGGATAGGGACAGTCTGATGGACAATCCGCTGCAAATTCTGAGAAGGCGCATCATATACCCAATCCAGATGTATCGTGAGTGGCAAAATCAACAGATGTCCATCCATTTCCATGTGTGCACTGCGGCGCTGACCCAGCATCTACAGAAGAGCCTGAGTCAGGCGGCAATGCAAGAGATTTCAAAAGCAGGAACTCGTTGTAATAGCGTTCATTTTATTCTTCATCATCATCATCACCACCACCATCATCATCATCATCGTCATCATCATCACAACCATCACCATCACCACCACCACCACCATCATCATCATCATCATCGTCGTCATCATCATCGCAATCATCATCATCACCACCACCACCATCATCATCACCACCATCACCAACATCAGCATCATCACCACCACCATCACCATCACCATCACCATCACCGTCGTCGTCGTCGTCGTCGTCGTCGTCGTCGTCGTCGTCGTCGTCGTCGTCGTCGTCGTCGTCGTCGTCGTCGTCGTCGTCGTCGTCGTCGTCGTCGTCCCCATCATCATCATCATCATCATCATCATCATCATCATCATCATCACAATGCCCACCCCATGGTTTTTGGCGATTCATATTTGGCACCATAGAATGGGGCTGTTCTGAAAGTGCCAATGACCAAGGTGACGTTTCGAAGCCTAGGGCCTGACCAGCATTGACCAGCCAACCATTGAATCTCTGGTTCCTGGGATTTTTATGATCTTCACTCTTGACTCAGGAGCATACCCAAATAATTCCAAATTTTGATGAGATCTGAAAGACTTGAAGACGTTAAAGCCAGCCCCACCACTGAGATTCACTGAGTGCCCCGACCGATGCTCATTCTTCGACCGCCCGCCTTGCTGTTTAACCTCAAGGTGGTCAATTGCAGGTGATTTCACTGTAAAAGGATGTAAAAGGGAGCCACTTCTAATGATTCTAATGTCAATCTGCACTCCGGAGGAATGCTGCATACTGAGGCAAACTAAGTACTACTTGCCATCTTAAATTAGCTGAATCAGTTGTGTCAGTTGAATTCAGCTCAATCTCATCATCCCAATGCCCGCCGCCATTTCCACCCAGGGGCAGTTCAAGGACAGTGGCATCGTTCAACTTCGACAAAAGACCTCGTTCCGGTTCCTGGTCCTGGACATCGGTCACATCACTCTGTCGTTGCGCCCCAGGATGGAATACTTATTCCTCCATATTCCTCCAAGGTATAGATCAATGATAATTCATTGAATCAGTTTCTGTCTTTTCGGGGTTGCTATAGTGTAAGCCATGTAATATCATGCAATCATGAAACCAGAGGCTTTTGCAGGCAAAGGTCTACCAATGTCTACCAAGATGTACCAAAAAAGCATAGAAGATTGAGTCCAGGCATGAATCGGTATCGGTAGAACAGCGAATCGGCACTCATTTGGTTCAGGTCGGCAAGTCAACACTGTCAGCCCATATACATTTCGGCAACTCGTCCCTTTGGATGTGGCTAACGATGCGAAAAAGCTCAGCAAGTCCTCCACTCCCGTATTGCTGACCTGGCCGGCGGAGTGCAGTGGGTCTATGGCCCCCATTGGTCCGAATTGGGCTCATGGATGTCCAAGCAATTTGAACCTGAACCTGAACCTTGGACGTTCCTTTCGGAAGAAATTGGAAGAATCTAAATATACATTACATTAGTTTATGTTTGAGCAATTAATATGCTTTCTTCACCTAGAATTGGTTTGTGGGAAAATTATGTTCCAATGACTGCAATGATGACTGCTGGCCGGACTGGTAGGTTTCAACATAGGCAGTATCCGCATGCTCATGGTGCTGAAATGTCCTTCTGTGCTGATCTGTTATTCTTGACTATATCCCTGGTTTTCCCTAGTTTCAGCTAAGGGGGAAAAAAAATATTACCACCACACCACCACAATCACAACAATACGACGACGACGACGACGACCACAACAACAACAACAACAACAACAACAACAACAACAACAACAACAGCAACAGCAACGGCAACAGCAACAGCAACAACAACAACAACAACGACAACAACAACAACAATGACAACAAAACAACAACGACACCGACAACCACATGAACAACAACAACAACAACACCAACAGCAACAGCAACAACAACAACCACAACAACAACCACAACAACAACCACAACCACAACAACAAAAACAAAAACAAAAACAACGAAAACGACGACGACGACGACGACGACGACGACAACAACAACAACCACCACAACAACGACGACAACAACGACGACAACGACAACAACAACAAAAAAAAAACGACGACGACGACGACGGCAACAACAACAACAACGACAACGACAACGACCCAATGACCCAACGACCCAACGACCCAACGACCCAACGACCCAACGACCCAACAACCCAACGACCCAACAACCAACACCCGACTGATCGGCCGAGCGCCCTACCATCGACGGTTCCTGTTCAGCGTCCATGCTCCCAACGGTCAAGCGCCGCCGGGATTTCTGGACCTCGCAGTCGGAGCAAAACAGCACAGCAAGCATTGCATATGGTAGCAATATCGTGTTTCTTCATACAATGTGGGTAAAACAATAATAAACCATCCCCCAAATCACCATAAATAGGATGTTTAAACCATGTCCCAAATGGGTGGTTCTTGTTGTGTTTCTTCATATACTCATCATATATCATCATATCATATTATATCCCATGAAACTTAAAGATAAGCTGCGTGAGCAAGAAAATCAGCAGAAATGTAAATGTAACCATTCTGAAACTGATATTCAATATTCAAACATCAACTCTTGGACTCCATAATCACTGGAAATCCTTTAACCGCATTTGTCGTGGCGAAAATACGGCGAAAATGGGGCCCGAAAGGCCAGAGCTTCATCCCACGCGTCCATCAACACCACCGAGGCACCGTTTGTCCCGACGAGGATGAGCAACCCATCTGACCTGCAACGCCACAACGAGCTGCGCTGGTCAGTGCTGGTCCTTCAAATTGGTTTGCTCAAGGTGACCACTTGGCGGTCAAGATTCGTCAAAATTCACTAAACTCCATGTTCGTCCAGCTTCCAAGACGATCCCGACCATTTACCACAAAATGTTTGGACGTATCCAAAAACAGGGAACACCAAAAAATGGGTTTATATGTGAGCTGCTTCCCATTGTGCTATGATGTACTAGGTTTTGTTTCACGCCTTATTAACATCAACCAACTGGGGTATTGTGGCATACCCAATCAGAAACCTCAAAAATTGGGGAAGGTTTCAATTGTTTCCCCATTTCTAGTCACAGGGTTGGTTTATCATTGGCTTTGCCCCGATTCCAAGGCGTGCCTGCCGGGATGGACCACCTTACCCTTTGGGGTTTCAGGCGGCATCTGGAAGCCGAAACAGCCCTAGATCTTTCACATGACAGAGGGCTGCAATGAAGCCACAAACTTGATGCAACTTGCTCACCCTAGCTGACACTGTCATCAAACTTGATGTGGATGCGACTAAACCGTCCCATTCTTAATGATTTTAAGCCATGCCTAGCAAGCAGCGCTGCATCCACACTGCGGGCATTGGCCTTTTCTAACCAGTGAAACTCTAAGATTCCCAGAAACCACGACTTGTGAAAAACCGCGGAGTTTCTGGTGCCCCTTTGTACACGACACGGTTCTCTTCGGTTCCTCGGCTCCGTCAGCTTCGACCTTCAAAGACCTGGAAGGTCTGAAGTTTTGGATGTTACCCTCTGGTAAACTAACATAGCAATGGAAAATCACCATTTTTAATGGGAAAAATCACTATAAATTACCAGAGGGTAAGGATCAATCATGATCAATCAACATACATCAACATACATCAACATACTAGATATTGTTGGGACATCATGCTATTGGGGAATATTGGGGAAATCAAGCAACCAACCAAAGAAATAAATGTGAGACATTTCCTTGGATCGACCCCTGCGTTCCTGAACCGGTCAAAGAGCAGCGGTATCCGGTATCCCAAGAAACTTGTAGCATAGATGAAAGCCTCCTCGAGGGTATCCTTAAATTCTTAAAATGGTGTTGCAATGTGTTGCATGGAATGTCCAAAATGTCCAAGTTCCAGCCATCTGGCACCAATTATATACGCCCTCTATGTGAATGATGCGCCTTCCCTCGATCAAAAAGTGCTTGATCATAAGAATTGCCATTCACACATTGAATGATGAGAATCCCAAATCTATTGTATAATCAATAGTCAATAGTATAGTCCCTTACTTGTAATCATCAACCATCATCTATCAATTACATCATATCACCATCATTGGTGATGCTTAAAACCCCATAAACGATTGTTAAATGCTAACATTACATAACCAACAAACAGGGCTGTCGAACGCAGCCACTGCCAACGACCCGGCCTCAAAGACATGCTTCCAGTCTTCGACAATGGCCTGCCCGCACTGCTTTTGTACTGGGAGATACACCGATTGTGATCTAGTCACAAATTTCAGCGCAATAAGTTGGAATCTGATAACTGTTCGTTCCGTTTTATTGACAATAACATCAAATAACTCATATGTGTTTTTTTGGGTTGATTACTGTATAGCCTCTGTATAGCCTATGTATCTGTTTTATGTATATGTTTGTGCATGGTTATGTTATGATATATCCTGATGTTGATATCGACATCAGATTCCCACCTGCATCCAACCTTCCCAGCTGCGATCCGGGGGCGGTGGTGCCTCGGACTTCGATTACTTCAGACATATATATATATAATTATATATGTGTGTGTCTTTCATATGATCCTTTTGATTCAAGTTCATTTGGATACCCTCGGGTTGTTAAACAGTTTGACCCTGAAAATAGCATCTGTTCGAAACTCATCTTAATGGCAAGGTCTATGTTGGGATTCGGCTATTTGGGGATAGTCACCCGATATTTCGAGTCCAATTGCCATGGCAAAATTCCACGTCAAGACTTGGCCATAGAGTGTGATAGTTGTTCGTGGCCCATTTTTCAAAGAGGCACAGGCCCAAGAAAAAGTGTGAAAGCCGACAAAGATGGACAAAGATGAATGGATCGCTGGTTCCACAAAAGCTGACAGGGACAGCACCGTATCTGCCTGGATGTGGATGATCCACGCTAATAGCATAGCTAGTAGCCGTGGCTTTCCCACAAAAAATAAATCAAAGTTGGTCTGGGTCAAGTGGGGATGCAAACAGCATGCAACAGAAACCTTAAATGAAACCTTAAATGAAACAACGACCCTGCCAGTTTCTGATGCTTTCTCATATGCTTTCTGATATTCCATGAAACGATAGACATCAACTTCATCCATAGGTCCATAGAGGGATAAAATAATGGGTTATAAGGGTACCCGGGTACCTCTATTTTATAGAGGAAATTGCCAGGGGGATATCCATAGTGTTGAATCTTGAATCCTGATGATTGATCCCCGGCGGCTTGTCGCTTCTTGATGAGCTCGTAAGCCTGGTCGCAGCATGGGAATCGGATCAGGCCAAAAATGTTTCATGGATCTGGTGGACACCAATTGACCCTACTCTGGTGGACACCAAAATAGCTGGTAAATGAATGTTCATACCCTAAAAATATAGTACGTAGCAAGTACTCCAGCAACAGAAGTGGCAGCAGCGAAATCAGTTATTCTTCTCACACATCATTGTATGGTATGCTGATGTATGTTGCAGGTATTGATCTATGACCATGTACGAAAAAAAAAAAAACGTTCACGGTTCCAATTGCCCATCTAGTATAACGAAGCTTCTTAAACCACTGCAGGGAACAACTATTCGGCATTGGGCTCGGTTGAGTATGCCTATATAATCCTATATATATATATACAGTACACAATCCTTTTTTGTTAATTTTGAGTACCCCCCTCCTAGAAAACCGGTTTCAGTATTGGGATTCGTTTTGGATTTTTTTGGGGGCCAGATGCGGGGTATTTAATATTAGGGGATGGGATTAGAAGAGATATACAGTATATATATATATACTGTAATTATATTATATATCATAGTAAGTCATCAAATGAAACAACTTACTTGTTCGCGCGATACAGTGTTGCAACAATTTGTGGACTGACACAGTAAAGTTGCTCTCTAACCCACAGAAAACATCAAATTACTTTACTTCGTGTGATCCCCACCATGACATTTATACATATTGTTGCTGGCAAATCTTCTGGCATATGTTCTGGCATATCTTCTGGCATTCTATCTGGCATTCTATCTGGCATATCTTCTGGCATTCTACCTGGCATATCTTCTGGCATATGTTCTGGCATATCTTCTGGCATTCTATCTGGCATTCTATCTGGCATATCTTCTGGCATATCTTCTGGCATTCTGCCTGGCATATCTTCTGGCATATGTTCTGGCATATCTTCTGGCACTCTATCTGGCATATCTTCTGGCATATCTTTTGGCATTCTATCTGACATTTTATCTGGCATTCTATCTGGCATACCTTCTGGCATATCTTCGGGCATTCTATCTGGCATATCTTCTGGTATAGCTTCTGGCATATCTTCTGGCATTCTATCTGACATTTTTTCTGGCATTCTATCTGGCATACCTTCTGGCATATCTTCTGGCATTCTATCTGGCATTCTATCTGGCATATCTTCTGGCATTCTACCTGGCATATCTTCTGGCATATGTTCTGGCATATCTTCTGGCACTCTATCTGGCATATCTTCTGGCATATCTTCTGGCATATGTTCTGGCATATCTTCTGGCATTCTATCTGGCATACCTTCTGGCATATCTTCTGGCATTCTATCTGGCATATCTTCTGGCATATCTTCTGGCATTCTATCTGACATTTTATCTGGCATTCTATCTGGCATACCTTCTGGCATTCTATCTGGCATATCTTCTAACATTCTATCTGGCATATCTTCTGGCATATCATCTGGTAAATCTTATGGCATTTTATCTGGCATATCTTCTCGCATTCTATCTGACATTCTATCTGGCATCTCTTCTGGCATTCTATCTGGCTTTTGAGGTCCAGCGGTGCGCACTGAGCTCGGAAGGCCCCAGGTTGAGGTCCAGGTGCGCACTGAGCTCGGCAGGTCCCAGGTTGAGGTCCAGCAGTGCGCACTGAGCTAGGAAGGTCCCAGGTTGAGGTCCAGCGGTGCGCACTGAGCTGGGAAGGTCCCAGGTTGAGGTCCAGCAGTGCGCACTGAGCTCCGAAGTTGGCGAAGAGCTTGGCCAAGAGTTGGCAAGGCAACAGTGGACGTGGAAGTGGAGGCAGAGGTGGTAGAAGAGGAGGACGCGGAGGAGGAGGAGGAAGGAGGAGGAGGAGGAGAAGGAGGAGGAGGACGAGGAGGAGGAGGAGGATGAGGAGAACAGCTCTGATAAAATCTAACAACCCTCACCTGGCAGGTGGGGAAAAAAACACATACAAACAACAGATTGAAAGAGACATCATCGATGAACATGTGGAGGCAACAAACAACTCCATCAAGAAGAGAAGGGGTTGAAAAGGCATGAAAAGGCAATGTCGAACATCATCATCATCATCATCATCATCATCATCATCATCATCATCATCATCATCATCATCATCACACTGTGTTTGTTGGCTGGACAACAATTGAAGAATCTATTCAAATGTCTCTCGATTGTTCGCGGTTTCTGAATCCAAGACTGATTCATTGGGAGACCTAAGAAGCGTATGGGCAAACCAGGCCATCATCATTCAAAATCGACAACCGCAATCGGGACATCTGATAATATTTGGGCTTATGAACACACTTGGCACCCCAAACCCATCGACCCTATCCACCGTTTTGTCTCATTTCATATCAAGTTAGCCCATAGCTTTGAAGCTAAGCTTTTTTTCAACATTTAAAACATATACCCTCTAGACTAATTGAACATAGCTGGCAGCTTTCTGGAACATCAACAGTGTTGGTAAATCAACAAACCAGAGATGGGCGCCTTCGTGATCTCTGACATCTTATCTTCGCATTCCTTTCCGCACCTGGACCGTTTAAAATCCCCATTGCTTTCCGGACAAAAATCCATCCAGATCCGTCCAAAACCATCTAAAGGTGGTTATATATATATATATTATATATATATATATTATATATATATATTATATATTTATATTATATATATATATTATATATTTATATTATATATATATTATATTATATTATATTATATTATACTATATATTAATATTATATATATATTATATTATATATCATATATATATATATTATTATGTTATATATATATATGCTATTACCGTTTTCACCTTATCGTATTTTTTCTTCCTTATCGTCTTACAGGCTTTCGGCATTCCGTCATAATCAAGCAGACCTGAAGAGGTTCATGCACATGCGGCAGCAATTAAGAAATAAGAAATTACTTGCTTAATTTCTATTGAACTATGTATTTATTTGTCTGTGCATCGGACATACTTACCTTGGCGGCAACAGGGCTTCTTGGAGCAATTTTGCTATAGCCACATTACGCAAGGACTCTCAGATTATTCCAATCCGTGGTCCGTGGGACATACTCGATCTGTTCATACAAAGGATGAAGGCGCATCAGCAGCTGCATTCTAACTCGAAAACGCTAGAATCACCATGCAGTCAGTATCAGTAACATGATGTTATGTTAACACACATATTGAACATATTGTATTATACTTATGGTTATCGTGTTTTTTCTTCCTTATCGTTTTACAGTGAATGGGCTGTGTCCAGTAAAAATGGAGACCTGCTTCGCTAGACGGGAGTTTCGTTATTTCCTCATCTATAATAGTTATCCTGTGGTTTCCTGTGAATTTCCCTGGGTCAAAAGTCTTGGAAACCATCTTAGGCTATTGATAGCATCAGATAGAAGAGTCCAGCACATGAATACCCAAGGGATACAGTCAGTCGATGTCAGTTGTATCGCACTGCTTAAATCCCTTCCAATTCTCAGCATCGACCTGGACCTGGATACAACTTCCCACAATTTCGAGATGTTTTTCCATGGATCTTGCGAAAAATTCTCCCTAACTAGAGATGAGAACGTCGCAAAACCCGCCATTGGGGTGGAGTCTCCAGCATTAGCTTGCCATGTTTGATTTCACAAGGTAAATATGTATGTATACGTATATATATATATATTATGGTGAATGTAGATGAGAATTACACCATACAAAACACCTCAAGATACATACATATACGTATAAATAGTACATAAATAAATTGAGATAATTGAGTGGATGAGTATTATGATTATGATAGTAACTGATAGTATTATAACAACCCTAGAAAAACCTGATAAACCCTGAGGTTCCAGCCCTGGATTGCGGTCCGGATGCCACTGGAGGCTCGCACTTCTGTAAGCTGCGCGCGCCTCGTGCTGGGGTGTTCTCCAAAAATGGTGGATTTCATGGGAAGTCATGGGATTTCAACCATCTAAAGTTGGGATTTCATGGGAATTCTTAATGAATCTAAGTTGGTTAATTAAAGTATGGGATGTATCATCATATAACCATTAAGTCATCATAATGAATTTAATTTGATGGGGATGTATCCAGCAAACAATCAAAAATAATTTCGACAGTTTCAGAAATGACAGGTCAGCGTTCTTCGGGTAAAAAAAAACTCCATAGTGAGATCATTTTGAGACAACACCCAATGGTGGTTTTGAGGAAATCCCCTATCAAAATACGTTTTTGGTTTCTGGGTCCAAGTAGTGGACCAAGTGATGCCGGCGTGCCTCTATTTGGCAAACATGAATGTCAATTGGCATCATCCCTGTTCAGGAATGGAAAATAAAACTATGCATCAATCCGCCAGTTGATGAAGAGAAAACATGGCTACGAAAGCCCATGTTTCATGGGAAGATCATCTGTTTGGTGCCCCATGCCATCCGTTCGTTAATCACAACTTGGTGCCAAAATGAAAAATCAAACACCCCCAAATATTAATATTGTTGGCTAGTTATGTCGCGTGAAATATTTTATTTTATAAACAGAAGGCAGGTTGGGGGGGGTTGAAGGCGTGCACATTGTAGAAACGCGCATGTCTTGCACTGTCTGTTCAAAATCATCCTGTCTGCTGATCTGCTTCCATTCCTGGAGTTTGGATCTATCCCAAACTCTCATACAAACAATCCAAATTCTGAAAGAGAAACTTCTTGCTACAACTATGGAAAAACAAAAAAAAAACAGAACCATGGCCATGTCCTGGCCAGTTTCTTCTCAGACCGGTTCATGGGTCGATTTTTTGCTACTTTGGCCCAAAAGTGCCAAAACCCATGGAAAAACCTGAAAAAAAAACAAAACAAACAATTATGCCCCCTGTCCAGTTTCTCAGACCCTGTTGCTTTCACCCCTCCTGTCCAAATTGAGTTACTGATTTTGGCTACTTGGCCATCAGAGAAAACGTACAGGAAAGCATCTCTATCACCCACCTCTTCAGGCACTCCATTGGACTGATGTTTTTTGGTATGCCGAGGTTTTGGTTCCTCATCTTTAAAGGTTTGGCTCATGTTCTTCGAACCTGGAATATCTATCATAAAACATCTACTTTTTCAAAAATGATTTGTTTAAGCAACACTTTGTTGTACAAAAAATATGTTTGCCTCAAAGTAGTCGCTCCTTCAAAAAGGCAATATTGTATCCCTCACGACAAAATTCCTCTAAAGAAGGATGTTGTTTTCCTTTGGAAGAAGCAGATACTATTTTGTAGAATGCCACATTATCTTGGCAACTCTTGCATGACACAAATACAGCATTTGAAGAAATGATGGTATTCCTTTGAACATACATGTTCATTTTCAAGGTTCAATTTTTCATTGTATAATGTAACAGGTTGAAAGAAGCAACATTCTTGTAGTCATGCACTATATCTTGAAAAACATTAGTCCAAGATGTACTAGACTTTCAAACAAAATGTATGGTTGAAATATACAACAACATGTTCAAAGCGAATCCTTCCTCCTCCCACTAGTCAGACATCACTCATACAAAAATGAGCAATATGCAATTCAAGGATGCAATACCCTTAGCAGGGAGTGTACAACCTATAGCTGGAGAATACAACCAATTTTGTTCAATACAGCCTACAGCCCATTATCTCCTTTGAAAGGGGCAGCAATTGTGCAGAGCATGCAATAAATCTTTCAAAAATGTGCTTGTATTTTTACATGTTCACAAAGGCACTGCAGAAAGTGGGGTTGTTTTCAAGATGCGTGATCTTCTCAAAAAAATGTTCAAGATACAGCAGTCTTGAAGTGCATGTCTCAAGTTTCAGTTGCGCTTTCATGCACAAAATGTATTGTTTCCCTGCAAGTGTGTTACTGTTTTCAACAAGGCAGCGCTTTTAAGGCAAAATATAGATGATGCCTGGAAAAGGTCTAGATTCAATTGTAGTTAAACTATCTTTTGAAGAAGTGCATATTCAATCTGGAGAGGTTCTTTTTTGAAAGCACTCATGAACTGCATGAAAGGATGCAGAACATGTTTCAGAAAATGCAGAATTTGCAGCTGGAAATTGCACTCATGTCTGTTCAATATCAAATGATTACATATTTCGAGAAACATCAACAGCTTCATGTGCAAAGCATTTCCATATCTCAAAAAAAACTGTTTTTTTTATACTTTCACCACTCCAGCCCCCATGGTAAGCCGCTCTCTTTATAAATCCCCATTTTCACTGCTTAAATCCACATGTTCCATGGTGAAAAATCCCCATCATTTATAGCTATAAGTCTATAAGCGGTTAAACCATCACAAAAAATCCCATGTTTCTGGTTGGATTCTCACTTCTTCATGGTCAAATCACCCGGTTTTCCATAGTTTTCCCAGTTAGATCAGTTATATATAGTACCTATATCATACCATTGTTGATGGTTGAATCGCACGTTTTCGGTTGGTTGAAACATCCCTGGCCAGGCCTCGCTCGCAGTGGCACCTTTGCTAATGCCAAGGAGCTCGTAAGGATTCACCTCAGAAAGAAGAAAGATCTACATGGATTAGTTACATGTGTTTCTTCATTTTACAGATGTCACATTCATTACATGTAGATATATGATGATATGTGACTTTGATCTGTTGCCATCTATGATTGATTAATTCAAATATTTGCTTCTGGATGGATGGATAGATAGATTGATTGATTGATAAACAAATAATGTTAAATGAGGCGTGGCGAATCTTGGCATCATAATTTTCAGAGAGTGTAACGCCACCAGGTCCCCCAAAATACGTGGTTTTAGCGTTTCGTTTAACACTTTACGTGTTATTTTGTAGGTCCAATGAAGTGTGCAATCGATTCTATACTTCATATGTTGCTAGATATAACTGGTGTTAACATCTCCATGATCCCTGGAGATTCCCAGAGATCCCCAGACATCCCCAGAGATCCCTAGAGATTCCCAGAGACCGAGAGAACACAGAGATCCCTAAGCAAAGGGAAGGATCAAAAAAAATGAAAGAATACTAATACATAGCTCCCAGATGGGAGAGGTCAAAAAAAGAGGTTGTCCCCTCTCTCCAGAGCTCCAAAATCCTCAGAATCTTGATTATCTTTCTTTTCGTTTCAATCTTTTTGATGATCCTTCAATCCATGGCAATTGCAGTATCTATGGTGATGCTAGAAGGGAATCCACCTTAGCAAAGAGATTTATTTTTGCTATCTTAGTAAGCAGTGGAGTCTCATAGATTGCTAGAGGGATGCTCCCATGGAAATTTAAAGGCCTGTGATATCTCTCAGATTCCCTTTAAACAAATCTGTAATGTTTGTAGGAGATATGTTCGGAATGCATTTGAAACACCATTATCTAGATAGCATGATACTTTCATTTTGTATTCCTAAGAGATTATTAGTGCATTTGGTTGCTTGGGAATGCATATTCATAATTCACTGCATTTCTAGAAACGTGGAATTTTGGGGACCTGACAGCGTGCCTTTCTGCATTTTCATGATTTCTTGATTTCCTGCAGGGCTACATTCTTCACCCTCGTACAACGGGGATCATCATCTCATTTTTGGGGATGGAAAAGAGCAAGTTACAGTATGTGTAAAAACCAAATGAATCTCTCGCCCGATTCAAAACCCGTCATAGCCCTTATAGACCATCCGCCATTCCCTCCGGTAAATGTGAGATTCACGCCTGAGTTTGGGCTGCTATGCGATCGATGTCAACTACCTGGCAGATTGATTATATCATGACTCATAATGACTCATATGAACCACCAAAAGGTAGTGGCAAGCACAGGTGAAAGCAGAATGGGACCTGCAAAGTGTGCAGAATGACGGGAAGATAGACCTCAGAGGATCACCAATCGACCGATGACAAATGCAAAATATGCAAACCCTCTCCGGTCCAAGGCGTCTGGGCCCACAACCACCAGCCCCAGCATGATAGCTAGCACCCCGAACATAAACCTCAGCAATCGCTTTGGCGTCGCTTCAACATTGCGAGACTTTGATATTGAAGAACAACCCATACTGTGAGACTAAAAGCCTCAGCAGTATCCAACCCCCAATTTTTGCGAGTTAAACCCCCTAGGTGTACAAAATCTTTTGGTGCAAAAAATCTAGCGGTGTTGCCTTCCAAAGCCTAGTTTTTTCTCTCAGCAGCACCGGGCTTCAAGCAACGGCAAGTGACACAGTAACCTCAGCGCCAGGAAATGTATCGGCGCAGGGGCGCAGAAGGATAGACTTGGACGCGTGGTAAGTCTTCTGGGGCAATCATACATGGCTGGCTGGGACATCTCCTAGACATGGATTACCATCTAATGGGAAATTCATATTCCATTGCATTCCATTGCCTATTTTGGATATTTTTGGATTACTGGAGGGTATCATAGACCAAGTTTAACCAATTTGCTCCCCCAAAGTCATGAATCTGATGGTCCATCTGAAGTTCCCCCTGGCTGGTGCAAAAGAATCATGTTCCAGTTCCATATTACATTGCAGTTTCGGATTGTCCCCATTTTCAGACACACCCATATCACAACCCCCATTTTCAGTGACCGTTTGAGTCAGGAACGGGAGATAGTCCCAGCGCTTTTGGTGCAGAATTGGAACCACTTGGACCCCATGATCCAAACATTGCTTCGTAATCCCATGATTATTGGGGCAGCTGAATGCAAACATTTTTGCTGGTCACTTCACTCGTGGTGAAAACTGGTCCTTGACCCACCTTCACCCACCTTCACCCACCTTGACCCACCACTGCCATCACTGCCATACCACCCTGGTGTAAAACCGCCATCTGCAGACAATTTCAAAATGATTGACCCTTTTTTGGGGATGGCTAATGTTGAATACTCCAAAATAGCAGTTGTGTGGTTCAATTGGTACCAAATCCAATTTCGGAGGCTCATAGCAGAAGCTGCCCCCCAAATTATGTTTGTTGGTTTGGTGTCCCCCATCTCATGATAATCCCTAAATATATAAAGGGTAATTTTAATACAACTACAACCAAAACAAAACAAGCATCATTTATCAAGGGCTCAACTCTTGGTTTTCCTCTGTGCCTTCGGGTTGTTCGTGTGGTTGGTAGCTGGCACCATGACTTTACATCAGCCACGGTAGCTGGCACCATGACTTTACATCAGTCACCCAGCCACGACAATAGAAAAGAGACAGCAGCAGGGACAGGAGGCGTCAAGGGGTGGAGGTGGGTCAGCTTGAGCGGAAAACATATGAGAATCACCCTTACTTGGTCAAGGGCTCAACTCTTGGTTTTCCTCTGTGCCTTCGGGTTGTTCGTGTGGTTGGTAGCTGGCACCATGACTTTACATCAGCCACCCAAAACCCCACTTTAAACATCAGTTCAGTCTCTCTGCTGCTGTCGAAACAAAAAATACCAGGTAGTTGCTGGTATCTGACATGCATCGTATTTAATTGCTTGTGCGAGGAGCTGAGGGAACATGTTCATGCTGAGTAAAATTTTCTGTTTGCTACCTTCACTGATTTGGTTCAGGTACGTGGAAGCCATCACTTCCTGCAAGTACACTTCCATCACTCGCAAAGAAGCCCAGCGCCCTCTACGTCTGATTTGTTCAGCGTTGTCGCAAACAGTCATCATATATGTTGCACCTCCAGGTCTGAAGCTTGCAAGAGTCATTGGCTTTGGCTGCTGATGGTTCTCAGTCGGCAGGTCTAGTCTTGTCAGCAGCTTGACAAGACGAGACCTCAGAGTGGCTCCTGAAAGCGGCCAAAGCTTTTCTGATGGCCTCAGTCGGCCAAAACCAATTCTCACAACCTCCAGCAAGTCCGGCTGATCAAGGCGCCCTGACTGATGCTTGGCAGTCCGAAACTGCGCTTTTGGCTCCTTGATTCTGAGCAACCCAAAACTGTTGGTATAGTCAATGTCAGATGGAAGGATCAGGTCAGCACGAAAAGCGTCCAGTACTTCCCCAATCCTGAGCAGTGCACCCCATGCTAAAGCAAAAACTGCGGCCTCTCGAGTCCACCCCCAGTATAATGCAGCAGAAAGAATTGCAACCAAAACCTGGTGGGGCATTGCGACATGGTGAGTTGTTGGTTCATGTGATGACCACATGAATGCCAGATCCCAGCTCTGCTGCAGAGAACGCCGCACCATAGGCCGCTTGTTTGCTACTGAATTGACAGTCTCTGAAAAGTGGTACAGAGGTTTACCTTGCTCAAACAACCATCTTCCATACCTTACCAGTACTCTGTTGAGAAGGTCAAGGTCAGGGGGTTGAGCAAACAGCACATCCTGCAAAGCCATGCCTTCAGTCTGTAGCCACCCCTCAAAACGCTCAAAAAGGACATCCCTCACATTCGCAGTGGCTTCGGTCACACGTCTGCCATCTTCCAAGACTATGCCAGCACGCTTCTCGCGCCGCACCGCATCAGCATGGCTCGCATCACCTACTCCTACACCTATGGCATGGTCACAAATGGTAGAAGCCAGGAGAACCCAAAACCAAAGCCCCTGTGGTCCCTCACCCGGAAATCCAAGGGTTGAATCAAAGTCCAAAGTCCATTCATGCAGATTGATGGGCTCTGGGCTGTGCCGCCTGGAGGAGCAGGGAAAGAGGATAAATGCAGGAGTCAACAAAAGAAAGAGACGAGCACAATTTGAGATCCAGCGTCTAAGAGAGCTGATGGAAGCAAGGCGGAAGGATGCCTGGGGGTCATGAAGTCCACCTAAAATTGACCTTCCTGGCTCTGGCAAGTCCGTGTCTCTGGTGGGGCAGTCAGCAGGATTCAGCCGAGTTGGCACATATCTGGGTGCCAGATAGATCCCAAAAGCAATGGATAAAGCACAGGCCTTTTTCAAAAGACCTCGCAAGGATGCCGCTGAGGATCTGCCTCTCGCCAAAACGCACAGCACTACCTGAGAGTCCACAAAAACAACCTGCCTCCTGTCTCCTCCATCTCTTGCTAGATCTCTCAAGAGCTTCACAACTGCAGCTAGCTCCAAAACATTGATATGCGAGGAGCCCTGCCAACACCAGGCTGCATAATTGCTCCAAGGGAGGCTGATGCAGACATCATTGCTCAGCACATCCTCAAGCCCCGCTGCAGGAACACTCAGCCTCTTGCTCGCCCTTTCGATTGCTCGAATGTGGTCCTTGAAAAAGACGGCAAATGCCAGGGCAAGACCTGGGCAATAAGTGGCAGAAGCTTTGGTGTACTGCCCTTGGATCACCACGTGCCCGTGATCACGGCTGCATTTCCTCTTCAGCAGCCCCACATGCATATTCACCCCAAGCAGAGCAAACTCCTTCTGATGAATGGATCCAAACATGCAGGAGGCTGTGTAGGTCTCACACGCTCCAAGCTCTAAGAGCCTCTTCCACTCCTTCAGCCAACGCATCTTGCTCCTCCTGGGCTGTTCAAGCAGTCCACATTTCTCCATCCTCAAAGCAACCATCATCAATGCCAAGGAAGCAAACGCAAGTTGATTTCCAACCTTCACCTTGGGGTTCTCTTGATCGAAACCTCTGGGATTTTGGTAAGATCTGACGCAAGGATGAGCTGCAGGAGAGAAAGATGTACATGGGGGAGATACCAAAAAACTCTGCAGTCTGTTGTCCTCCAAAAGGAATATGATCCACTCAATGACCCGGTGGTTCCTCAAATCAAACTGCCTTGAAATGGAAACATCAATCACCGGGCCGCAAACGACCCCAAGCTTGATCATCTCCTTCGTGACAACTGCAGCACCACCACATATCTCAATAAACTCATAACGCAGCCCAATGGGTCTAGGGACAGCGGTCTGGGCAGCACATCCATCATTCTCATCAAAATCATCCTCCAGAAGCTTCAAGCCCTCATACGGACCGGCCCTCCCCTCTGCATTCTCTTCAAACATCGGGTCATAAAGGGAGAGCATCGCTTGGGTTCTTGAGAGCACAGGCGCTGATGCTTTTGCTTTCACTGCGGTCCTCCAGAGGATAGCTGCCTCCTCTGAAGTCACTTCACTCTTCACAATTCCACCTTTTGCTAATGACGCATCTGTTGCGAAAACGTCTGTGGCAAATGGTACTGCAAGATTGCTGCACAGCACCGGGGCTAGGCATGCAAGTTGCTGAAGCTCTGAGGCTGCCGCACGAGGGAAAAACCGTACCACTGGACACTGAGGATCAAGCTGGCCAGGTGGGATAACCTTGAACACCTCATCCAAAATGGACATAGAAGGCCGTCTCAAAAGAGCAACTGATATCCATGAACCAACAAGGCATGATAGCAGCGCATCTGAAGTCGCAGGAAGCGCGGAGGCTGAGGCTGTCATCATTGCTAGGGCCATCCTCTTTTCAAAGGGAGCTGCAATAGTGACCGCCCCTCTTCGGACAGTCGCCTCATTGCTACAGACCTCACCACCACAAACCGTGAACTGTGTCTGCCCGATGACATCCTTGTCGTCAGACCCTTGCAACCCTTCCTGCTGATACGCTGCTTTTGCAACCCTGAAATGTTCAACAGATCGCGACTCAAGATAGGAACCTCCTGGATTGATCTGCTCCTTTGAAACCACAAAGAAATCATCAATCACAAGCCCTGACACGCACTGATCCCAAAGAAGCGGCTTTGAGCTTTGAAGGCGGCTGTCCTCATCGAGCAGTCCATAGCTCTGTAGCATCCTTGAGTGAGCTTCTGTGGCAAACTCAACCCCTAAGTGATCACCTTGAAACAGCGCCGCAAATGCACAAACGACCGTATCATCCTGATGGGGGACCAGAAGCGGAGCAGGCTTGTGCAGGAAGTCACCAACCTCTTCTCGCCGCTTGACTCTCTTCTCACGCAAAAACTGCTCATCATAAACTGCAAATGCCCGAGTGCCCTTCAAATCTTCCAATGCGAGGTGAGGCAGCACAACATTTGTCCTGGCCCGCTCATCAGTCACAAAAAACTGGTGGTAAAAGTCCCTCCTATCTGCAACTGACCCAACCAAGCATTGCTGATATCTCTCTGGGCAAATGGCAAGCAGAGAAGCGGCAGTAGGCAAGCTGTGAGATGGTCCATCTTCTATCCTTCCTTCTGTGAAGTTCTGGCCACGCCTGTCACCAATCTGTCTGTCAACTTGAGCTGATTTGAAGTTGTTGAACACCTTGGTATGACACCAACTATGCATGGGCCCTAATGCGCAAGGAAAAAGTCGCAGCAAACCCTGCGCATCCCAAACTTTGCAAAGCCTCAATGTCTCCTCAGCCGTCACCTTGCTCATGTCTGGCAAAACTGCTGCTGGAGGAACCACATCATATTGGTTTGACCGAGGTTCGACAAATGGCATATACAGCAAGTCTGAAAGGTGCTCACGGCAGTCCCAGCTGCCCTTACCTGACAACTTCAAACGCGACGCATCCAATGGCCTATACGGTCTCAGCTCCTCTTTGTCATTCCTGGGCTTCACCTCAGCTCCTTCATGTTGCTTTTTGTAAAAAGAGCCCTCATCAAAGCCCAAACTTTGTAAGGCCTCATGAAGCTCCTTCAACCTTGCATCTAATTGGTGAGCTTTGCGACCACAACTGAGAAAAGAAAACTTCCCAGCAGGACCACTCGCCTTGATCAGCGCGATCAACCTGGCATGCACTGCCGCATGCAAGGGACCTGGACACCTCCAGAGACCAGGGATCACCTTCAAGGGGCATTGAAAGTGCACGAAGTTCAAGGCCGCAATGGCCAGATACAATGACCTCCGCACCGCCAATCTGCTCCGCTGGTTGACTCCTAGATGTTCTGGGCCTCTGCACCACACGTCACCAAGAGGGAAGGGCAAAGGAAACAAGGCGGTTGAGGCTTCATCACGAGAGCCTCTGCACATGAGGATACACTGCCTCAGGAAAAATGAGAAAGGGGTCCTTGACGCAAATAATTGACGAAGCAACATAGATGGCCAGGCTGCAAAAGTAACCTCTCTCACCTCCAAGGGGCAAATTGCTCTTGCATCGGATACTGCTGCACTCCTGTCTTTGTGGGATTGATGCAGCTGCTGAATTCCTTCGTCCAACTCCACTGGACTATGGGAAATGCAGTCATAGCCTCTGCTTATAGTTTTCCCATTTCGTTTTTTCACAATGCTGCTATCTAGGTCCTCTCCCCTCCCGAAAGTAGCGGGCCCAGAGGGCCGCTCTGATGATGAAGAGCTCGGTGAGGGAGCAGAACCTAGGGCAGCACCATCTTGACCAAGTCCATCTTTCAAGCCTGCTCTGCCTCTGCTGACTGCGGCGTTGATCCTCCTCCTGTGCCTTTTGCTTTGGACTTCCCCCCCCCATTTCTTTTTGGGAGAGGCTGGAACAGCTGCAGGCGGTTGAGCGGGAGGCCGCTTTTGAAGGTCCACTCTCCTTGCCTGTATAAAATCGATTTCTTTCGCATAGGCAAGGGCAATGGTCGCCCACTTCTGAGGGCACAAGGGTGAGAAGGCCCTCACCCTTCCGAGTTGAGAAGCCCCCCCTCTGTATGACCACATCTGCGTCGGTGGATCCTCCAGCAACATGAGTTGGAAGCCTAAGTCCCACCGTCCCTGATCTTGTGCTGCTTGTTCCAGGCCCACTGCCATCAGAGCCGCATGCTCTCGGACCCCTTCTAGATCTCCTCTGATGGCACAGTCCAAAACAAAGCTGAGGGCATACTGCATCAATCCCAGATCTCTGGAATTCCCGTAACCTCCAAAACGCTCCAGGTAGGTCAGCATTGAAAAATCTGTTGCGGAGATCTCTTCCAGGGTGCTGGGAACTTTGGATGCCGGTCTCAGCCGCTTGAACGCATTCTGGGCAACAGCGAGACAAAAACCTCCACTGCGCGCTGCTAGCTCCTGCTGAAGCTTCTCTCTGCCTTGAGCCCCCTTTGTAGTGGAAGACACTCCTGTCAGGTGATGGTCCAACAGTGGGTCCCCTCCTGCCTGAATATGTGTCACAAGCTGGTCACAAGGCTGGTGAGGGCCCTGCTCTGTTCCAAAACTGCCAAGGCAAGGCTGTCTCCTCTCCCCAGAGCCTCTTCCTCCTCCACCTGCTGACCTTCTTCCTGTCCCGCCACATCTAGGTTCACCGATGCAGCTGGCATCTGTGCCTTCTTTGGAGGCGGAGAGGCCAGGGCAGTCCCTCTCACTTTCGGAGGCGGCCCCATCAACTTGGCAAACTGCTGCATGCTCATCGAGACCGGCACTTGCGTAGGCCGAGGGGGGGGAGACATTGCTGCGCCCTCCACAACCTGTTGAAGCCGCTTCTGCTCCTCTTGAATTGAACTCAAAGCGGTCGTGATGATGGGCATCATCTTGGACAAGTGTTGGATCTGCTCCGCAACCTGTTGAGCTGACGCCCTTTTTGCCTTTTCTGCTGCCTTTGCCTTTGGGGCCTTGGCCTTGCCCTCCTTCGCAGCCGCATTGAGAGGATCTGCCTGCTCGAGCTCCTCTACCGCAGAGTAAAACACTGACCTGCCTGGCCCTGCAACTGCCAGCCACTCCTTTGCAAACCTCAGGAGCGTGGCTGGGTCTGGCACAACTTGAAACTCCGTAGAAAAAGCAATGATTGCCGCATCCTCCTCGACCCCTCCATCTGGCATGTGAGAGAGGCCGTCCAAAATAGCCAAACTTGCGTCCACCACTTGAACATCTAGGTCCTCTCCAGTAGTGTGGGACACGTCTCCATCCAGCAAGACTCCTGGCACAGATAAAACTGTATGGGGACCCACAAGTGCTCCTCCATCGTGACTTGAGGCAAGCTGCAAAGCCTCTGGAGGGATGAAACCTGAAGGAACCGCCAGCAAAACACCGCCCTCTCTCTTCATAATCACCATGCATAGGCTGAAGTGGGCATCCTCCCCCCCAGCTTCCACTGGCCACGCTAGCTGATAGACTTCTTGAAACCCTTCTTGAATTGCATTCACGCCGGAGAGCTCCATTGCAAAGGTGCGCTCGGCAAGGTGACTCCTGCGCCCAAGGCGTAGACTTTTGCCTCAGCGAGGCTTCCAAACCCGTGTGAGATAGTAGGGCCTGTGAAGTCCCCCACAATTGTCCTGTACTGCGCGCCACTTGACACGTAGAGAGGACAGGTATATCCTTCTGCCTTGAGGACCACGTAGATGGTGTTGCGCACGTCGCAAGCCTTCGAAGGCCTTGGCTTTGAAATCCTTCCTGCCAACGTGAACCTCGCCCACCAGCCAGACTCCCAAGCTCGTGCTGCTCTCTCTCTAAAGGAAAGTGAACCTCCTCGAAGGGAACCACAAAGAGATACACAAAAATCAGGCACTGAAGGGATCTCAGCGGCCAAGCTGTTGTATTCGCCGTTGCTGGAAAAGGATCGCTCTGAGGTCTGAACTGGTTCAGACGCAGCAGAGGCAGCAGAGGACACCACTTGATAGGATGTGCAGGGTGGACCTGAAATCACAGATTGGCCTTGGACCTGTGTAGCAACAGCCAAAGAAAGGGCTTGGACTGCACCCGCCAAATCAGCCACCTGTGATGAAAGTTGATCAACCTTTTCAGCCAACCTGTCCACCCGCTGATCACTCATACACGTATCCCCCCAGGCGATGAAAGGAAGGATTGGCACCTGAAGGAGTTGGATGATGGGGGGCAGTAACCCTCAGGTAAAATCCAAGGAGATGATAGCCCAGGACAGCACAAGTGCAAAATCCACAGCAAAGTCCAAGGATGAAAGCCAGAGCCCAAGAAGCAAAGGAAGTGGATCCACAGTGAGCCGGGCAACCAAGCCCCCACCAATTTGTGACCACGCCCCACCGCAAGAACTCTATGCCCTGAAAGATACGGGCAACTACCTCGACCATCAGCTTGAGCGGAAAACATATGAGAATCACCCTTACTTGGTCAATTATGTCCGCATATATGTCTGGAGCGTATTCCCCACATGATGGTCTTTCACCCCAATTATGGCATTAACGACTAATCACCAACCAACATTTGTGAATTGTACAGTACCCTATATCCCCATAGGTTTGATGGTGAGTAAAAACCCTATCAATTGAAGGTTTCCTAAAATGGAGGATACCCCAAATCATCCAAGTCATGGATGACCAAACTACAGTGTTCAAACCCATGGTGACTTGGGGATCCACCATTTTAAGAAACCCCCAAATGATTGTTAAATCCACATGATTCATGGTGTCCCACCTTCTTCGACTGTTGTCATAGGGCGCTTCCGGAGCACACCGCCTCAGCTGCTCAAGTTCAACAAGGTTCTTGTCAGGATTGCAAAGGTGTGGATTCGCTTTCTAAAGTTGATGAAACTGTCGAAATGTAAATTTTGGAGAAACTTGGTATGGAATATCATCCGGCTGACCACATTACATACAACACACACGTCCATATTCATGTATGAATACCATTGAATACCTATTATGGAGGTTTCCAAAAAGGAGGGCACCCCCAATTCATCCAAGTCATTGGACCAAACTATAGTATTGAGACCCATGACGACTTGGGGATCCCCCATTTTAAGATGAGAAAACGTCCGAAGGGTGCCACAGTGCAGCTATACCAAGGCCATGGCAAGTTGTTGAAAGACCGCACATAGCAAGGCATCAGAAATGCATCGAGCAACCAACCTGTCACTGTGCGTCTCGTCTCGGCCATATTGGGGGTTGTCTGAAAATAGGCTACCCGAAGATCTCATGGTTGGCATTGGTTGATCATCATTTCCCTGCTACTAAGTGGCCACTTTGGGATATGTTCCATTTTTAGCGGCGAAAACTGTTTCAAGCTTCTGCCCAACATTCTGAATTGAATCAAAAAAGGGTCTCTAGAATTCTCAATTCGTGATTGGCTTCACTGTGGTCTGCAAATCAACATTCCAAGATGCAACGTCTGTTTCCCTTCGTGGCCAGGCCTAAACCTGCAAAGTTCACTGTCCAAAAGGCGCAAAGCCTAGATGTCCGATTCCCCCCCCCATCCATTGATGCTGCGAGGAACAATCCCTCTGGTTTTGAAGCAAAAAAAATGAGGAATTTCAAGACTTGGTGAGCCAACAATGGTGAGAAATGCAGCTACTTATCCTTCTTTTCTCAACATAGATCACCTGAATGGGGACATATTGAAACAATATTGAAACCACCGGAGTTTACCAAGCCGTCAAGCCTGGGTTCCCAGGCCCATGCACCGGCCGATCCAAGTAGAAGTGGTGCGCCGGGATGAAGGGGTTCAGCCAGAGGAGGTAACTGACGCCGAGGGCCAAAGTACATGGGATGGATCATGGGGTGTCATCCACCATCATTGGGATAAACCTTGGGATTCTCAAGAAATCGAAATCTTGATCATTGGGTACTAACAGGGATATATTTGGATAGGGATTCTTGAAAAATCTTGATAAATGCTATACTACTGTATGCTAATGTAGACTAAGCCCGTCTAAGCCCTATTGATGTAGGATGGTGATTGGTATCCGAAGAGTCGCTTCAAAACCTTCAAACAGCAGAGACCTCACGGTCGCCGCCTAGTGAAAAGCCTTTTCCGCTGTTGCAGGGCATCGCTGTTCACCTGGTTGGATCAGGTTGGATCCCAAATTTCTCAAACATCGTGAAAAAAACATCAAACATCTGTGTTGTTTAAAACATGTTTCTAGTTTTCTTTACATGTTTTTTTTAAACAAAAAAACGCGAAACAACTTCCAGCAACTTCAAGCAGTAAACTTCTCAGCCTGCACTCCACCACCAGGACCAGGCTGCGGCCGTGCCGGATTGGCGCCACAACAACAGGCCCGGCAGAGGATGAAGATTGTTCCCAGGTGCACCAGTGAAATCTAAGTGCCGCGGCGCTGGGGGGGATGTGCTGCTGAAAATTGGGGTGTAAAACCTCTTCTTACTGGTGCTTAGCAGGGAATGGATGGGAATGGGGGAATGGGATTATTATTACTAGTAATAGTGATTATGGATCATTCCCTCATTCCCTACTAAGCACCAGTAAGTCTTGCAGTGTAAGAATTGGGTATGCGTCAAAATCGGTGAAATGATCTTAAATGATAAATGTCTATAGGTTCTATGCCTTGTAGTGAACTTCACATCGCAACTGCAAGTCCCGGAACTGGCCATGTTGAAGCGAGGCACCAGAAGTGACTGCAGGTTGAACTCCTCATCCTCCAGAATCTCCTGGCTCTGGCTGCAACGGTGATGAAAGACCAGCTGAAAAGAACCACACCGTGCACAAAACGCTGTCAATTGCCTGTAAATCATCCATCAACTAAACACGAGCACTGGGCGTCAAGGCGACATGGCGTACTCGACTATTGCAAAGATTTATGAAGATTGATGAAGTGCTCAGGTCGAATCTCTTCATCAGGGTCGAACTGATATCTTTGATTTGCAATGATTTGCACATCTTCCCTGACCTCATGCAATGCTCAAACATGTGGGAATCAATACAAACACAAACTGGCCTGTCCAGCTATAAACAGACATGGCTGCAGAAACGCATTCACGAGGGGCCTGTACCAACAAAAAAAATGCAATTCCAACCCACAGCCACCTGCCATCCTGCTACGGCACCTCAGCGCAAGATCTCATGTTTTGGCCACGCACCTAACAGGTTCTCTGCAACTCGACTGTACAGCTGCTGAGTAGGTGCCCACAGACTCATGGGCGGCGTGGCAGGCAAATAACTAAAACTCAGGTGGTAAGATCGGCCCAAAAAGGTACAAAGCATCACCAATCTGAAACATCTGAAACAAATCAATTTCAATCAATTTCAATCAATTTCAGCACGTCTAAGCGCTAGCCTGGCCAGATCTTAAACCAGACCTGTTCAAAGTGATGCATCTGCCGGGCCAACTCCGGGCCCATGTGGGGCCTGTTCAGCCCAATCGGACCACCTCCCTCACGGAGTGGAAGATGTTGAGCGCGACGTTTCTCGCCGCGTCACAAGCTCCTGGCCCTGTTTTCATCCGGCCCTCTTTCTTCAGCGACTCCAGGTAGTCCCGAACAAATTTGAATTTCATGGTCAAGCCTTGAAGCGTCTGCCTAGCATCTGCCAGGCGGCTATCCAATTGAGTTTGGCTGGAAACCTCGGACATTTGCTGAAATCTGTTCAGATTTCGGATCTCCAAGTACTTGCCCAAGATAATCTGGCCAACTTTCACTTGACGACTCCGAACCTCGTCACTCATCTTCTGGTTCTCAGCAATGCTCTGCATGTGTTCGCGCACTGCCTCCTCACCAGCTTTGACAGTGGACTCCAGGTCTGCGGCTGCCTGGTTCAAGAATGATTTCTCAGCAAAAAACGGACAAAATGACGAGCAAATCCGGGTTGACTCGGTGTGCTATTTGGGTCTGCGAATGTCTACTGAGTCTACTGTTTAGGTTTCTGCTAATTCCATCTAGTTCTACTTTTTATCATGTCTACTTCCTGCGCATTGTTCAATGGAGAGTGCTCTGCGATCCCCTTTTCTTTTCTCATCAGTGAGACTAGATGGTAACGGAGGCGAAAAACATGGGAAGTATACATGCAGAAAATACACGAAAATGATGAAAAAGGATGGAAAAGGGAATCACGCCTGGCCTGGTTGTATTCCTTGATCTTGGCGTTGTAGTCGGCCGTCTTCTGCTGCGCCTGATCCTCCAAGTCCTTTGCTTCGTTTTTGGCATCCTGCAGCCTCTCAAGGTTCTCGGACCGCTGCTTGCCCTTCAACGAAGAGTCCAAGTTCTCAGCATGCTGTCGGGCTTCGCCAGCTTTGGAAGTAGCATCATCAGCCGCTGCTTTATCGATGCTCAACCCATGCAACCGCTGTTGCTTCAGGTCTTCCAATTGCCGACCACTCCTCTTCAAGTCCTCCTTCTTGGTCTCCAAAATCTGCTTGGTTTCCTCCACAGCGCGAGCTCGGGAAAGCAACTCGCTCTTCAAGCTTGGCTCTTCCAGCTCCTCCAAATTCTTCAACTCTGAAACCAGTTTCCCGCTCCGACGTTCAGCATCTTGGCTGTAGCCAATGCGGCTGGAGATCAACTCATCGTTCTTGGCTTTCAAAGTTTTGGAATGAGTTCTGCAGACCTCAATCTGCTCCAGCAGGCCCTTGATGTGCTCATCCAGCAATGAAAGGGTTGTCTCTCCACTTTCTGCATTGCCGGAACAAGCATGTTTGAACAAGGCATTCAAATCCCATTTCAAGGAATTCACCACCTCTCTGAAGAATGGGACAATCAGCCCACAATCATCCTGCACTTGTTCCAGCACTGGGGACATCTCCTTAATTTTCACTGCAACCAAATTATTCTTTTCACAAGCTGCTGCAGCATCGGTCATATCTTCTGTGAGACCAGCAGTGCAGTCAGACAGGGGGTGGTTCTGCAGCAGCTCCAAATTCAATGTCCGGCTGACATCAGTCGTTTGCTGGATGCTCTGAACGGTCTGCGCTGTGGCCACCAAAGTGCTCTGGAAACCTTCCACCAAAGCAACAGGGCAGGGATCCACATTGCACGGGACCCACCGTTCCCTCTGGTCTGAAGCTGGGTCAGGACAGTCACCGCCATGGCTTGCATCATATTGGACTCCACGGGTTTCCTTCACCGTGCCATTGCCACAGAGTTTGCTGCAGCCACTCACATCTGGCTGCCAGTCAAGCAAGACACAATCCACCGGACACGGCTGGTCATTGCACTTTTCGGTCTTCAACTGGTTCATCTCATGACAGGCCGCGCCTCCGTTTTGCGCCGGACGCGTGATTTGGAAGGCACAGGAACGGGTGCCACCACCACAAGAAGCGGAGCACGGGCCGAAATCAGACCAAGTTCCCTCGCAATTCTGTGGGAAGCTGCCAACCCAAATCTCAGCACTAAGATCACGACAGTTGATGGGTGGAAAGCCTTGATTCTGCCATGTTTCAAGGTAGCTTTGCTTACCAAAGGAGTCAATCACTGTGCCGTTGAACTGAAGGATGCACGAGTCCAAAGCACCTTCAAAGCAACCACGGGACACGCCGAATGGAACGAGTCTTTTCATGATGTCCACCTTTGCACCCTGCATAGTGAGATCGATGGAGCCACACATGCTGTGAGCTGTGGCTGCCATGCCAGCCATGCCCACACTCAAGACTCCCATGAGAACAGCGACCAAGTTCTTGGAAGGACGTGGGAAGCTGCCCGGATCTATGGGTGGATTGTCGCCCTCCGGAGCACACTCAACCCGATCCCAAGATCCATCGGAACCTACACTTTGATTGTCCACCGCGCGGGGATCTTCATGAGCAGGTGGCTCTTGCATGGCATGGTCAGTCTTGGGATCGGTGAGTGACTCATCCACCACATCGTCAGCCTTGGCATTGTCTGACTCCCCCACCACATGATCAACCTTGGCATCGTCTTCGGCAGGTGACTCATTCACCACATCGTCAGCCTTGGCATCCTCTTGCACAGGAGACTCTTGCACGGCATTCTCAGCCTGGAGGTCAGTAGGTAACTCATTGACAACACGGTCGGCATTGTCTTGGGCAGGTGGCTCTTCTGAAGTCACAGTGATGGCTGGATTGCTGTCCACAACGTAGTCCTGCCCATCCTGTGCCACAGTTGTCCATTTGGAAAGGTCCTCGCAAACGTGTGCCATGGCTGCGCAGATGATCACTTTGTTGGTATACGAGCACGCGGTCTGTCAAGACCATGCCTTTTCTTGATTCATCTGGTTTGATGATCATTCATCCTGATGTGTTTTCGGTTGGTGGTGTCAATCGCATATTGGAAATCAACTACTCTTGGCGGCTCGATGAAACTTAAAAATCAGCGACGTCAGAGGGAAATCCAAATGGTAACAAGTTCCATTTGCAGAATGTGTGCAAGAAGAATCAGTTTGACTGACCAAAAATCCATCAGCCACACTACCAACCGTAAATTCGCTGAAATCAAATGATGTTTTCTTGCAATTGCACCAGGAGAGACACTGCAAATTTCGATGTGTAGGTTCTCACTTTGTGTTTTCCGCTGTCGATCTAAAGAATCGTGAATGCATTTCCAGCTGTTCATCTAGTCATGACGTTACCTGGCCTTGGAAAGCTGCTCTATCTGCGCATTTTGATAGGACTCCCAGTTTTTGCAAAGCAATGCCATTGGTCGCAAAAACTGATGGCATGATATGCGAATGCAAACTTGACACGCAAATGTTTTCGACCAATGGCATATAGATGCTTATAGCTGGTCATCAATTGTCGCCCGTCATCTCTACATCACGCTTCATTCTCCAGACTCGTGCCTGGCGGGGTCAGGGTGGCTTTGATCATGCCCCTAGCACCCTAATAGGTTTATTCTTTTTTGGTTTCCTTTTGAGAATCAAACAGTTGCTGGCCCTGGACGTTCAAAAGAAATGTCTGCAAATTTAGTTTCTTAGAGTGATCCCCACTGTGGCATTCTGCAATTCTATCTCACACTCTGTCTACAATTTTCAAATATACTACTTGAGGCCCAGGGGTAAGGGACGCATGACGAAAGCTAGCTTGGCAGGGAACTTGGCATGAAAACACAAAGGGCGCAGCGCAGCTGCGTAATTTTTTCGTCAACGTGGTCGCGTGGGTCTGAAACTGGGCCAGGTTGGTAGCGTGAACATCCAGACTTACGTATTGAGGCGATGCATGTTGGAGCGGACGAAGATGAGAACATGATAGTTATGCACTGCTGCACGAAGAGGATGAGGAAATTAATTTCAGAATAGCCAACATGATGACCAATGGTTGGGGAAGATTCACAGGTCCACCGTCGGCAGCGGAGTGGACCTTTGGAAGCGCAGGAACAAGTAACATAGTTTATTTCAAACTTTAGCCTCTTAACCTGTGGGCCTTGTGGACCATGGAGGGAACTATGGAAGGGACTATGGAAGAAACCAGGGCAATAAGGATATCTTATAGAAGGTAATGTTAGAAACCATGTCAAGGGAAATTAGCAAGCTTTTGAAGAAGTAAAGAAACAAAACAATGCACACAGCGAGGACACATCCAAATTCATCAATCTGGGTTTGCACTCAAAGTCGTGAAATACTTGACCTAAATTGAATTTGTATTGTGGACCGGTGATGAATTCAATTTTGCTAATAACAAAACCTTGCCATGGATACTTTATACCTATCTGATCCACAGTCTATAGATATAAAATTCTGATTGTGAGATTGGGGTGAACTTATGTTTCGGTCTTTCTTTTGAAGACTAAATCTACTTAGGTAATCTTAGGTGCAAATAAAATTCTACTTAGGCGTCACGAACTGACGCCTAAGTAGAATTCTATTTGCGCCAGATAGATTATGCATTCCAAATTCTAGTCTGGGGCTGTTGGAAGACAAAATTCATAATCTACTTGGGCGCAAAAAGAATTCTGCTTAGGCGTCAGGAACTGACGCCTAAGTAGAGTTCTATTACTATTTGCGCCTTATTAGACCATGTCTTCCAAATTCTAGTCTGGGGCTGCTGGAAGACATAATTCATACGTAGTCATAATCTACTTAGGCGCAAATAGAATTCTAGCCTGGGGCTGTTGGAAGACATAATTCATAATCCACTTTGGCGCAAAAAAGTGGAGAATTCTATTACTATTTGCGCCTAATTAGACCATGTCTTCCAAATTCTAGTCTGGGGCTGTTGGAAGACATAATTTATATTCATAATCTACTTATGCGCAAATAGAAATCTAGTCTGGGGCTGTTGGAAAACATAATCCATAATCTACTTAGGCGCAAACAGAATTTTGCTTAGGCGTCACAAACTGACGCCTAAGTAGAATTCTATGTGCGCTTAAGTAGATTATGCATTCCAAATTCTAGTCTGGGGCTGGCATTTGGGTGAAAATATGGCTTGCTTTTTCTTCAAGATGGGAGACATACTCAGGCGACAGAAACAAACGCCGAAGTGGAATTCTATTTGCAGCTAATTAATTTTCTAGTGTGAGACTGGGCCAAATTCAGCTTTGATTACTTAACAACCTTGCCCCAAATACTTGAAACCTTGAATAAATACACAACCCGCATACAGATAGTGGGTTTAATTTATGATGCTGCATTTGTTTGAGGGAAGATTCAGGCGGTTTAAGCGCAATTGGAGAAATACTTAGGTGGAAGGAACAGGCGCTGAAGTCGAATTCTATCAATATGTAATTTCAATTATTTGGAAGGCAGTCCATGTGTGTTTGGGCGCGCTGAGCTGGCTTCTGCAATGTGTTCAGGCTGTTGGGATTATGTGACTTCCCTTTTCAAAAAAAGAACAAAGGCAATGCGGTTGTTGGCTGCATTCCCATTGCTGTCTTTTTCCCCACCAGTTCTGGACTGGATCAAAAATATGCAGTAGCGGTAGCAGTGCAACATCCAGGCTATATTGTTGGTATTTTGTCACTCTGGCAAGACTGTTGCTACTACCGTGCTACTACCCATACAAGAAACAAACTATATTGTATATAGCTGCCGATAATTTCTTGGACCATGATTTGATACTTTTCAGAATATATATATATATAGCGCTAGCGGTGGGGTTCTTGAGGGTGATGATGGGTTACTTTCAGGTTGGGACTAATGCATCCGGAATGGCTCAACCTTGTCCGTGCCTTCCTATTCCCGGGATTCTTGGCACAGAGAACCAATTTTTACGTGACAATTTTCTTAGCGCAGAGGTCCCCAGAACCGTTCGGAACGGTTCTGCAGACCTCCAGAACGGTTCGGAACGGTTCTGCAGACCTCAACTTTGCACGGAGATATTTCTCCACAGCTTCCAAACCACCCAAAAAAACGGTCAAGAGCAGTTCCTCCTGTTTCGCATTTTCAAAACCTTCCAAAGAGCCGCCCTGTGGCTCCAAGGGCCAAGGCTACAAGAGCAAGGAGTCAGAAAAACGACAAAGGGAAGGCAACTTCTCCGCCTAAGTCTTTGAACAGGCAGTGCAAAGGCATGCTGAGCACAAGGGAGAAGGTGAAACTGGATGTAGACTACAAAAGGCTGGAAGTTTCTCAGCTGTTTGTTCATGGAAGGCGTGGCCCCTTTCAAAATCTTACCTGTCTTGAAAACTGTTCTGTGGAATCTGTTCTAACAAAATCATACAACTGTGTAGTTTGTATTGAAATATCCGTTTGAAAGTATCGCTTGTGTCGAATCATCATTGCTTATGGTACTAGTATGTGTTTATTTGTTCAAACTCTATGTATTAAAGTTAAATAATTATAGTCAAAATATGCTATTATACAAGTTAACATATGCTATTATATGGAGGTCTCCGGAACCGTTCCGAACCGTTCTGGGGTCTATAGGCTTTGAATCCGGAACCGTTCCGGAACCGTTCTAAATAGTTCTAAATAGTTCTGAGGTTTTGGAAGTATCCGGAACCGTTCCGAACCGTTCTGGGGAAATCTCCGGAACCGTTCCGAACCGTTCTGCAAACCCCAAATAATGGCTTATATGTTAACTTACTTTTATACTTGTATATAACTTGATAAAACCAAATATACACACTTGTAGCTTATAGCTACTTTGTAAAATACAACTCATAATCCATAACTCTTGACTATCAAACTTCAATAAATCAATTTATAAGGTTTAAAAACTGTTTTTAAATTGAAACACATTGTTATAACTGTTAATTTACAACTTAGAGCTTCTAGTTATGACTTGACAATAAAAAATGTGTAACTTATAACTTTGTAACCTTTTAACTTTGAACTTACAACTTATAACTAAAACTTAGAACCTTTAACTTGTAACATAACTTTGACTTTACTTCTCGATTTGACTTCAACTGTTTAACTTTATAAGTATATTTTTGATGGTTGCTTTACTTTACTTACTTTGTATTTATGATTTATATAAGACTGTTTGAGTTTTTAGATGAATTATATGTTCTTGTTTGTTCGTGTATGTTTGAAAGTTTGGAAGTATATCGACGGGGTTTGTTTGTATAAAACGCAACAATAAAGTTTAAGCGTTGTATTTGGATAAAATGACATATTTATAATGATTGTAATCTGTTACTGCAACACTGCTGAGGACCAATGCACAACAACGTAGCGACAGAAATACAGTAACACATCTTTGATCTGCTACAAATACGTAGGATTCCGTTTGCAGTTTATAAATTTGTTTCACCATGTTTTACCTAAGTTTTACCGTGGTCTTCGCAGCACCGAAAACAATACTTAAAAACTGTGGATTTGCATTTGCAGTGCATCCATGCACATGAGCACACAGCCATACATACACTCATCAATGCACTAGTTAACCAATTTTACAGTATACAGGGTCACATCGTAATATTGTTTTTATGAGTTTTTTTTTCTAGTTGGAGCTTGCGCACATGCATTCTTTGGTGTTCTCCTTTTTGAAGAATTATGGGGCCCCGAATTACACAGATGTTGTATATTGTTGTATACTGTTTTCCTTTCCAACTTACGGACCAATATTTTCAAATACGAAGTTTGTATGTAACATCTACCTTGATGTTGAAAGGTTTTTTGTCCAAGAACTTGGAGCAATGCGTTTTTCTTTCAAAGTGGTGGGTTTCTTCATTGGGTGACATTTTTAGTGGAAACACCCCTTATTTCCATGGATTGCTACATAGTTCTTTCCATAGTTCTTTCCCTGGACATATGAAATCAACAGGAATCCAAAATTAAGAGACTAAGGTTTGAAATAAA